TGTACAAAATCAATATTTTCATCTTTAGAGAGATATTTTTATGCGATTTTTTAGACGTTGTTTCTTTCCTGCCAAGAGGCCATTCTGAATTAATGAGAACTGTCGAAATCAGTTCAGCCGTTCTCGACATATAAGAGATCTTTCAAGCATATCTTCTTTGATAGACATAAATATCGCTATATATCCGTTTTGTTGGATCTTAACATCAATGTAATGATCAGAAGTAACCTTGTCATGGCTTTGTAATTTTGCCGGGATTTAAAATATTCGCGGTTCAATGAAAAATTTTGAATTTTTTCAACACAAAAGATATGGTCTATTTTACCCGCTAAATATTATCCGATGACCACCCAAATTGGTAGGCTTCTTCCCCGCCCTAAACTCTAGCTACATGCGAAGTTCCGCGTCGATTGGTCTATAATTGCGACCTGTATAGCTAATGCAAAATCCGACATTTTTTCAGTTTTTGGTCCATTTCGACCCCTAAATATTATGCGATTATCTCCAATAGAAATAGGGTTCTATTCTGACCCTAGCCCCACCTCTATTCAAAATTTCGTGAAGATCGGGTCATAATTGCGACCTGTAGAGTGATTACAAATTAACATGGACAGACGGACAGACGGACGGACGGACATACATAGCTAGATCGACTCAGCTCGGCGAGCTAGGAAGATCCATATATACTTTCCTATGTGGGAAACAAATATTTCGAGGTGTTACATAATTTTTGGCCCAATCAAACTTATAATACCCCGAACACATAGTGTTGTAGGGTATAAATACGTTCTGCCCTACCTTGAATTCATTGTACCATGATTGTACCATGGTACAATGATGTCAAGGTAGGGCAGAACTACCATATGATTTCAATTTTTTTATTTTCTTGGCCTAATACGTCATCATTTTTTGTTTATGTATGTGTTTTCTTTTCAATAACAAAAAAATTGTTCAGAAAACATTCAAATTCGGGTGTTTTCAAAATGTTCATTTCAACGCATGCATCCACAAAATCTAGATTTTTTGTAGCGAAATAATCCTTTAGAGTCATATAGTACATGATTTTGAAAAGAAGTGTTGACCTTTCATTCAGTTATCGCGGTTTTCAATTATTTATTCAAAATAAATGCAACAAGTTGTTTGATTTTTTATTGTTTTGATACTAATTCTGACATTACAAGCCAAACAGGTAGACCTCAATACTTGCAATTTTTTCGAAGTTGACCTACCTTCTCTTCATTGTACCATGTGTAAACCTATATTTACTGAAAATTTTATTTAGGTAAATAGTATACTAACACTGCGTTTACAATGAACAAGACAATTAAGTTAATGTAAATTACATTAATTATCAATAGACATACTAAGAGAACGTCATATTTAGAAATTGTAAACTTTTATATTAGGATGTAATATATCCTTCGTTTAGTTTTTCCTATTGTTATTAAAAAAAATGATATTGTTTTTCTTCGCAATTTATTAACAGCTCTTATTGAGGACAATTTGTTTTGTGACAGATAAAAGGTTACATAGACCAAACTGAGTTCCTGTTTCACGATTTTTTCTTTTGAATTTGGATAACAAAAATGGTAGAAATTAAAAGGTAGTCATGCATTCATGTGTTTGTATTTTTTTTTTTTTTCAAATTTATTCATTTGACAACATCTCATTGTATCAATGAGTATTTATAAATCCATTGTATATACACAAATTGGAGATGGGAACGTCCTTTCTTTTGTACATTCTAAAACGGAGCTATAAAGTAGACAGATTATGTCAAAAAATTAATAACATCATCATCCGGTTGGGAACATTACTGTATTAGGGTTAATTATTCCAAAAATCTGTCTCGTGCAAACGCTATGTAAGCCTTTCGAAAAAAAATCGGAAATATATTAAGTTCCCAAAAAGCTTCCAAAAACACTTATTCATACCTACACATTCGAACCATCGTCATCACGATTAGCATCTTAGCGCCATTCTTTTTTGACCAAAACCCAGCTTCTTCTACTCTATAATTGACTGGATACAATGACCAATGTGAGACCCATCTACTTTCCTCTTGTCTCAAATACCCACATTTGCCTTTGCCTCCAAACAAAAAATATCTACTCTGTAGATAGATACATACATATATGAGAAATGTAGAACGATTGGCATTGTTTATAATGTGCCAAAAAAAAAAAAAACAAAAAGCAAACACATATGAACTCTTTACAGTGGGACAAGAACCGGAAATTTTATTGACACGTATTTATTTAAATCAAGGTATGCGAATACTCTGTGTTTTCGCATTATTAACATTTTATTGTTTAGACTATTAAGGATTTTGAGATCAGCTGAGTTCTGTTGAACATCTGTTCATTGCGCCACTGGTATCCGTTTACATGCAAAATTTTTATCAGGTTCATTATATTTATCATTTAAATATAAAATTTTATCCGAATTAATTCATGTTATCATGAAGCATGGCTTAATCCAGATTTATTCAACCAGAAGCACCATACAAACATGTACAGATAAAATATACTGAATATACTAATGCGCTATACAATAAAGGTTAAAAATCCATGACACTTGGCCTTCTAACAAAAACCAAAAAAAAAAAACTTAAAATTATATTTGATCCATCTAAAACACATGACAAAACAATAAAGGTAGACACATTTGCTGAAACGAATATTACAACGTTTTTCTAAAGCACTCTACCGTGTAATTTTAAAAAAAGTTTAGTTTCATATTCAAAATTATTACGTGTGGCGAGTGGCATATTTTACAAATATAATAAATAATCTATTATTTTCGGCGTTCCTTGTAATGTTAAGACAGTTATATGTCACATATCTTAGGAAGACACATTTTATTTATCATGACTTAAGCTATGACTTATAAAAATACTGATTTTAAATTCAACATCCTAAGAAAACTTTCTCTGTAGTCCTCGAATGACGTTTAAAGTCACTCTTTAACGATCAAAGCTCAGAAAAATCAGCTGAAAAATATGGGCAAAATCTTAAAAATACCTGCTATATAAATTCTCAACTAAAGCGAAATCTTGCGCTGGCAATTTCCTGCAATGATAATTAGGCCAATTCGACTGAAATTTTGGTTTGACAATCCTCTACCAGTATTATAGCAAAATAACCTGCAATATTGTTGATCTTCATACTTGTCCTGGCTGACGCAAAATTACATTTTTGCATGATATTACCTTGGTAGATGTTAGTTTTCAAAACATTATATCTCCATATCAGCTTTTTCGCTACATAATTGTTGGCTATTTCTGGATTATCATTTGGTTGGCGGCTTTCATACCCGAGCAAACCTTGTGTAAATGTACTTTTATACTATGTACTAATTATGGTAGAAAAATACAGGTAGACGCATCAACGCTTGGAAACATTGATATGTTAAAAAATTTTAAATGTTTTTTCAAATATACGTAGATTTTTATATGTTTTTTTTTACGACGTCACTCGGAGTTTTATTATAATTCCCGTTTTTCAACAAGTTTTACAAATATAAATAATTTTTCATTCAACATTTTCACTTCCAGAATTGGTTTGACAGTTCATTGTCCCAGCAGCTGTGTCAATGCGTTCTATCATGGTACTAATCAAACCGATTTTGGAATTGAAAATGTTGAATGAAAAATTATTACAATTTGTAAAAATTCTTGAAAAAAAAATCATATTATAACAATCTCTGATTTGCGTCGTATAAAAAAACATTTAAAAATCCACTTATTTTTCATAAAACATTTTAAAAATTTTGACATATCAATGTTCTCAAGCGTTGATGCATCTACCTATATTCTTCTACCATGGTACTATTGTTTAAAACATAAAGACGAATTTAAAACAATATAACTATAATTTGTTTATTAACAATTAATACGTGTTTTAATTGTTAAAAATTATAGATTATTGGTTCACGCACAAGTACTCTTTAAACTTATTTGAATCTAGGCAGGAATCAAATTATTCCGTTCAATTAGTCAGGAATGTTGAATATAACTTTTCCGTCTATATTATTCACATTGGCAAGGCAACGTTTACATTGCAACAATTTACCCATTTAATTGTCTACCATGATCTATAGAACGCAGTTTCTCAACTTTATCATGGTGTAGCATTTAAATCGAACAAAATGCCTTAAATGTAAACACGGCCTTATGCCTTATCTTTACATGGAAAGTTTATTTTAAAAAGCAGTTGAGTTGACTGATGAGAGGAATAAAAACAATTTCTTCCTTCTCCTTTCTCATTCAAAAAATTTTAAAAGAGCTTACATTCTTATTGATAAAAGGATTTTAAATGTGTAGTATTTATTTGAAAATCAACACCTATTTATTATCCAAAAAAGGCAAGGTGGGTCAAGTTGGGAATCAATTGACCTGCCTGGCCAAATAACCGGTAAGTAAGAAAAAAACATTGTTGATTTGAAAGGTATTGTAGAAAGTTGTCATCATTCAATATTTTTCTTTTTCGTTTATGATTTAAGTTCTAGTGAAGAATTTGGTGATACAATTTAAGTTTTTAAAACGGGTATGTTTAAAATTTATTCTAGGGTCAATATGTCACTATGCCGCCAACAAGAGAAGCGTTACAGTTGCAATTAATTTCATTTCTGTTTTAAAATTTTATGTATTGTTTTCTTTTCTCAAAAGTATGACATGAATGTTTTGAGTGTCCTTGCGGATTGAAACTTAATATTCAAGCGCCCCCAAAACTGTAAGGCCCTGGTGTTAAACTGAGACCTGAGGGAGCATTGTTGAGTTTATCTGTGACAGTAAGGGTTTTATGCAAAAAACCCCAACGTTATTATCATACCATATATAATATTTTAACTAATATTTAAGAAATAAACACAAATGTAATAAACATTCAAACTAAAGTACATTGTTTTTCTTTATCTCTCTTTTATTTTCATAAAAATGATCAACCAAATAAAATCTACTTTTTAATCCTACGACGTATTCATCAAATACACAATTACAGCGATGCAGCCGTTTCCAGTTTTCCATACTGCACAGAATCTAGCCTAAATTTCTCAACAAACGCCACCGGCTACAGCGAAGATGATACAGAATATAATACCGGAAGACGTAACAAGACATCGAGGGTAAATATTTATTATTAGTTGTTTTCCTTTTATCGATTGCCACATATATGCAAATGCTACACGATTTTCGAAACGACATGGACATAGAACCACCTCTCCAAGACCGCTACATTGACGAAACATGGAAGGGATTTGAGCTTGTGAAGTCGTCAGGATGCCCACGCACTATTCACCAATGGTTTGCATCGCACCTTACACACAAAGATCGCTAGAAAAAGCTAATCTAAAGTTTTTAATGAAATAAATATTAAAGAAATATAAAATAAATAACTACAAAAAACAACCAGCATTTTTTCAACATTTTAATATTAGCATCAACACAAAACATAACCTTTAAAGTATTCCATGTCTTTTAGTATAGATATTTAACATATAAAAACAATAATCATGAAGAGCTGTTTGGTTTTGTTGGTGCAATAGAAAAGATGAAATAAAACTGATATAACTCAACGAAGGGCTTTTGGAAAGTCCCTGGCTTTGTAAAGCCACAAGAAATATCTTTAACACATCTTGAACAATAAAATCCTCAAAACATCAAAAGAAAATTATCTGTTCCCATTTTTCTTAATTTTTATAGGGGTACACAAATCGGTTTTTGAGCCTACTGACTTTTTCCATCTTTTAATTACTGCCTGATTCAAATTAAATGAGGTTTTTGGGTCCAAGAAAAATGTTGTTTCAATGCAACAGAACCTTTCGATTCCTTAATTGCGAACTTGTTGGATTATTTTAAGCAATAACACTCCCGCCGAAGCAAAGTTGAATTTTGGATTTAATTCGAATACTCATTTTTTTTGATCTGAATTACCAATAACTGACAACCGAACCACTATAGGGAAACAACAATTTTTCCTCTACAATGATCACAATAAAAAGTACAGGCAGTGTTCGCCAAAAAAATCTCATCTTCTCTTATTAAGTAAAATGGCTTTCGGCAAACCATAGCTTCAATAGAATAAGCTCCACGCAAAACCAAACATAGGCATTGATCCTCAGAAGGGATATCCTATACTGTTCATATGAACACATTTCAGGTTATGGTGTAGTATCTAGAATATTGATAAATATCTTGTCTACATTACATCAAATTTGCAACAAAAAAACGAACCTTTAAACATTTACTCTTTTTTCTTGTTCAATTTAATAATATAGCAAGATCCTCTATCGCATCGCATTATTGAGAAAAGACGACGGGATCGGATGAATTCATGTTTGGCTGATTTGTCACGTCTTATCCCACCGCAATATCAACGTAAAGGACGTGGTCGCATTGAAAAGACGGAAATTATTGAAATGGCCATTCGTCATTTGAAACATCTACAGAGTGAGTGCATGCAGAAGGAGAACGATTATCGGATGGGTTATACGGATTGTATGAAAGAAGCTGCTAAATTTCTATACGATAGCCAACAACAGGAGTTTTGTTATCGCTTGTTGGCCCGTCTACAAGAGCACTGTGAAGAGGTTATGAAAAGTAAGTGCTGTGTACTGTTAATGCAAGTGTTTGAATAATTGTTTTTTTTTTTTACTTTGCAGATGACTGTTTCCGTAGTCGTGGTTGTCATACAGCTGCCGACAATATCAGTGCGTCCAGTGGCAGCCCCCATCAAACGTTTCATGCTGTACCGCCCTTGTGCCAATTGCGCGATATGTTAGGTACCTCAGACATCGAGCATAGCAACGATCACAACGATGTCAAAGATCTCAGTTTCCGCAATCATTTGAATCAATTGCATCGTAATAATGCTGCTGCAGCGGCGGCAGCAGCAGCTGCGGCCTTGGATAACAGCACCAATGAGGCACATCCCAACAGTGCGGGTAATAATGCTGCGCCAGCAGCTGTCAATACCACCACAACAACCTCGAGCACAACAAATGCCAACAGCGGCAACACAACCAATATTCCTAATAATTCAACTGTATCAAATCCAGGTTCGGTAATAACCACATCGAATAATGCTACAAGTTCTACAGGACCTGCTGTTAGTGGTGCCTTGGGAGTCGCCACATCCACTCAACAGCCCCATCAAGCCCCAGTAATAACGTCCACCGCTCCAGCATCCCTCCATCATCACACAGATTCCAGTAATCATGATTTTGACTCATCACGTGAACCCATTTTGCATACTGACACCTCCAATATGCATTCGCCACCTCCCCGTGACACTCTATTGGGCTCACATCATGGCTCCCATAGCCTTCCACATTCGCATCACTCTGCCCACATGGCTCATCATCATAATCAGGACAGTCTGTTGCATGGTAGTCGGCTGCGCAATTTTTCGGAATCTTCTCATGATATTGAGCACAACAATAACTACAAGTACAAAAATCACATCAAGGAACGTTTCAATCATGAGCTGCACGACGAGGAGACATCATCGGAACATTGTCCAGCCCCACCAATGTTACAGAGTGAAAATTCACATGCCCATTCCGAACACTCGAAGGATGGTACCGAACCCGAAATTGCTCCAATTATGGCGAAAAAACGCAAGATGGCCGAAGCTTTAAATGCCCACTGTGAGAATACCGTTGATGACGCCGATCTGAGAATAACACCTGCCCAAAGAGCCAGCAATGTTGCTGCATCCGCTTCCTTTCTCTGCAACAATGCAAACAATAACAGCAATGCCAGAGAAGAGAAACCATTTACCCCGTTCAGTGATATAAAAACAGAAGCGACAACTGCCAGCAACGGACCGTCGAAGCCCCACCTGAGTGCTCCCACCAGTACCACCGCTCCACTGCCAACCCGTAGTTTTGCCGTACCCATATTTGCCCTACACAGTCAAGGCACGTATTATGTACCACTCAATGTTGATTACAATATACTGATACCATTCCTCAATGGTATTGATCTTTTGGAAAAGAATTTCAACAGTATGCCGGTTGTACATCCCATCAATATCAATGTCAATTTTATGCCCACCTCCTCAGCATCACTGTTGGCCGCTGCTGCCGCTGTTGTGGCCAGTAAACAACAACATCCAGCAGCAGCGGCGGCCGCGGCCATAGCTAAAGCAGCAAAGTTAGAAGCTATCTCCAATACCAATGGCTGGTAAAGAAAATACGAAAATACGTATGATTTCCTAACCATCAGCAGTGAGTATTTGTTGGAATCATGCCCATACACCCAAAAATGTACAACTTTTCATGCTATCCAACTGTTGAAGTTCAACAGAACGTTACAGTTTTTGTCTGCTATGTTCATATTTATCGTGGATATATATCATCAATGAACCTGACAAACCACAAATGAACCACCTACACAAGTGTACATTCATATATATTTATTAACTGTATGGCACATATTGTCGAGAAGTATATGGAACAACTACCTCAGATTTCTGTGAAAAAAATGAAGAAAAACAAAACTAAAAAATGTATAATAAAGTAATCATCAAATGGTTTGTTTTTTATATGTAGCTAGAATCTAAAGGTACATACACACCAAATAAATACATCATATATGTAACAATACAGGAACAAAACCTCCCACGTGCAAGGGGAATCTAACAATATATTCCAAGATAAATGTCAAATAAATATCATAGATTAATTAGATTATCAGAATAAACTAGCAACATTATTGGGATAATCTTGTAAAAATCTTCTAAAGATAATGTGTATAGGTTATCATATTAATATGAATTGACCATTCAAGTGACAAGTATAAAAAATAATATAAAACGTTTCATTTATTGTTCACCTTTAAGATCCACCCCCCCCCCCCTGCACAAGATGTTCAAAGGATAACATGCATATATTTGCCAAATTAATATGCAAATTTATTGTTCTAGAACCTGCAAGAATCTATTATTTGTACAATTGTTTTTCGATATCATAAAGGAAAAATCGGTTATCGAAGTAACAAGATTAACATTCTTGCAGTTCTGGAATTTGTAAGTTCGAGTTACACAAAGACATAAAAAGAGGAGAGTGTAGTCATCACTTAGCCTGAATGTTACTATGATGTCCGAACTTACCTCCAGCCATTAAGTTGTGTCTGCAAATGTTGCATCAACATCTCTTTTCAAGTATCCATTGGAGATTATGTCACCCAAAATACGCCTGACAAAACTGAAAAAAAGTTCTTTCAATTGAAATTCAGTTGAAGTTTTAAACTTCCATTGAATTGTTTATGATTTGAAAAATAGTAGTTTTGTATAAATATTAGAAAATATTATTTTTTATATTGAAAAAATGTATAACATAAAATCAAAATATACAAAATAATCTTAGAAAGATATAAAAATTATCCATATAGTACAGACATACATACATTGTAAAATTAAGAAGGTGTAGTCATTTCAAATAAGCATACCCATCTATGCAATTTCTGTAATTTACCTTGTCATAGAGAACAGGTTCTCATGTCTGATTTGTGTATGCATATTGGGATTATAAACATAAAATCTGACATAAGATGTTGTCAAATGAATTATTTTGAAAAAACATGTAAACACACGATTGCTGACTTTACCTTTTTAATTCTACAATGCATACATATTCGCATTTTGAAATTATAATAAAATTCATAAGCATAAATTTGTGTAGAAAATGTATATGTAAAAAAAAAACAAAAAAAAAAAAAAAAAAAAAAAAAAAAAAAGTATATATATATATATATATATATATATATATATATATATATATATATATGAATTTGAGTACCTGTTTAAATTTTATATTAAAAAAATAAATACACAACATTTTTCACTAATATTAAATTAATTATATAAGTTTTGTCTTCTAAAAATCTAAATGTAATTTTATATTATCATTAAAATTTTGCATAAGTTTGACACTTTACTTAAATTATTAAAATAAATAATTTTTTTAACTGGTTTTGACAAAACTGTAATCATTTTGCTCCATTGGGGAAGTTGAGCGGTTCTCCGGGTTTATACTCTATTACACTTTTTTAAAAATCCGATAGTTAGACACATGTTAGATAATCCTGCATTAGTTCATAAAACGCAGCATCATATGATTTATTAAAAAATATATATATTCAATGGCTAACAAATATTAAGTTCTAGCACAAAGTGTAATATAAAAGAAGCACAAATAATTATTTAATTTGTAAAATATAATACTTATCATCCCTTCGATAAGATTTTTAGTACTCTGGTCGTGCATCATTTTTGATCACTGCAAAATAACACGTTCTGAGATATGTACGTGATTTTGGAAGGAGGACGAAAAAATATAAATTATTTTTGTACTTTCTACCTATTGTCTCATCTATGAATTTAGAACGCAACTTCAATTATAAAATTACAGATATTTTTATAGTCGATTCCAGTTTTAATATGAATTAACGAAAAACAATATAAATAAACTTTTTGATAACTCAAAGCCATACTTTAGTTATTTCCGATTTTATCTTTAGGTATCTTTTATCAATGAGGTCAGAATTTAACACCGATTGTTACTTTCAGAATTCGTGTTAAAAAATAGGTCGGAGATGCTGTATCATAAAGTTTAAAACTAAGAAGAAAAAAGTCAAATTAAACTTCCTGCTGATGAAATATCGGAAAAATAAATTATAATATATAAATAACAAATTCGTCTATTTTTATATATATTCTTGAATTTTATTATAATTTCAAAAATGTTAAGAATTGAACATAAAAATTACTCACACATAATATTTATATTTTTGATTTTTTATTCAAATTTTGTGTGTACCAAAAGAAAAATCATTTGTTATCTTTGTAAAACAAACAAACCACGTATAAAAAATATGAAACTATTATATAGAAATTTTAAATGTTACTTTTGATGTTATTACATGTTATAAGTGTTATACTATGCAAATGCGTTCTAAATGTGTACTATATGTGTTGAAAAAAAATAAATAGGAATCTTTAAAAGATTTAAAAAGAAAAACAACCTATATACATATGTGAAGTCTCCAGAAAGCAACAAACTTAAATGAAGAAAGAGGAACCTAGTCATGATTGATAAATTTGAATTTGTTAAAATTAAAAAAAAAATCTATTTGGTAAGTAATTTACCAGTAACAACAACAAAACGGAGAAAAAACGTTGATATATTTGTGTAAAGATAATTATATATTGCTATGTGCTGAAAACAACAAAAAATGAAAAAAAAAATAAAATGTCAAGAAACAATTTCCCATCCATCTATAACATTTTTTAAAAAAATAATTTTGTTTTCTTATTTCTTAACCTTTTCATTTATTATATTCTTATCCTTTACTATATATTATTATTTAGTTTCAATCTTAATATATATATAAAAAGCTATTTAATAATGTATGTAGTTAGTTCTATGTAATCTAAATTTAATTTCTTCTTATACACCTTTTTTAATAATTACGTTATTGTGTTTTCTAATATCTCTACTATAGTACTATCATTTATTATTATACTGCTTCTTTTAAAGCTGTATGTTAAAATTTTCTTATGAAGATAAGTTGTTAACAATTTTTTATTTGTTTTAGACTAATTATATTTTTATTAATTAAATATAATGTATTTTTATTTTATTTTAGTTTTAATTATTAAAAAAGTAAACAAAAACAAAACAGAAACTAATTATAAATATATAACTTTATATTGAATGTTAAATAAAAATGTGTTTTTGTTGCAAAAACAGCCAGTATAGATAGCAATTTAAATATCACATTTATGTGTACAGTATTCCAGTTTTTATTCTGGTGCATGGGAATTATGTAAAAAACCCTTTATGAAGAAAAAGGGAAGAATGCGTTGAATGAATAAATGTTATGATAAGGTAAGTCATTAACTTATACTGGGATATTTGAAATTCTTCAGTAAAATTTTCTATCAACTTGTTGATCTAGTTCAAATTCTGTCAGTGTAGACGTAGAGTGGAATAACAACGGGCGATTATCATTTAAAGAATTTTGTTTTGACAAATCTGTAATTTTTAAATATGACTGGTGGTGGAGGGTGGCCAAACAAGGGAGCAATAGAACATTAATGGTTGAGAAATGCATTTACAAAAAAGTTTCTTGTTGTCGATGCCCAGTCTTATGACTCTTATGGCTGTTATTTGTCTGGTATGAGGCCCAAATATTTTACGTGTTTGCTCCATGTTTGGTTTTGTTTGATGATGCCCAGCTACACAGGAGTCGGCAACTGCTTCGCTCGGAGACCTGTGGTCTATTGTGTTCATTCTAGGAGGAATAAATTTGTGTAACGTTCTAGTTGTCGAGATGGATTGGCCTTTGCGGTTCTAACCATTGACAACGTTTCCCGGTGAAGAATATCGCTTCAGTTTTATTTCATTTCATATTTTATCCAAGAACATGTGCCAAAGACGACGACATTTTTCTCCGTTGCCAATGTAAAACTCATACAGAAAAAAAAAAAAAACAAAACTAACGTTCCTTTGTCTATATTTTCATTTGTCTATGCTAAAATGAAAAACAAACTTATTCATGAAAATACACGATCCTGTAAATTTTCCTGCCAAAAGTAGTCTTTCTGGCCGATCATATGTAAGCCTTGCTTATAATTTCAAATCACAATATGTCTTTGGATAGCAGGCTGAGTAACCATATATAACCATATCGAATAAAATTACAATCTTAGATTTTATTTGAAAGGGGTGCACTGCACTTTTTATTTCATTAAAATAAACAAAAGAGATTACTGCTAATTATTCACAAAGAAATGAAAAATAATTATCTCAATTGTAGGGCCAATTACATTAACAGCTTTATGATGTGTTATTTCAATTCGAATATTTTTAGTTGAGAAATAAAGTTTCACAACCAGACAAACGTATTTAAATCGTTCTATATCAAAAAAAAAAAAAATAAATAAATAATAATAAAAATATGTCATGAATTGGCCCATTATATTTAATTCACATTTTATGGTGCTTCGATATTAAGCTCGGAAAATTCCTTTGCTATAAATGTTTTGTCAGTTTTACCTTCAAACCTGACATAGTGTACTGTTTTATTTTTCGCATCAAACCTAACTTGGAAAACAGTATCCAATGAATTTACCCTTGACATTACTCGCTCGACATGTTCAAGGAAGTTATTTAAAAAAGTTGTACAAATGTTCGGTTTCCACGAAGTGCACATCTAAAAGGTCATTCACATATAAATTATATGGATTTTTTAAATAGAAAATGTAAAGTTACCTTGGGAATCTCGCAAGTATGTAGGCATTGAATTGGACTAGTGACCATTGCATTCGTATCTTTAATTGCCAAATAAATCTGTTGAACATTGGATAAATAGGCTTGTAGCCAATATTTCAAATATTTTTCATCTTTATCCTTTATATTTATCCACATTTGTTTGATTGATACCATACTGCCCATACATAAATCTTTTAAATAATTTCTGAAAAGAAAACAGGCACTATATATCTTTCGCCCTCGTTAACATTTAAAATGCTGAGGTTTCCAAAGTCGTCATAATCAGAATTATGAAGCAAATTGCATGTAATACCTACTTGGTTCCTTCCGTTTCCTTAATGGCATGCGCTCTTCCAATATAATGCAATTTAAACTTTTCAATTGTAGCCTCGTATACAGCCACTTGGAATATGTTTTCATCGTTCCAAGTAGTCGGATCCTCGGAAACGTCTTTAATAGAAGAAAACAATAACTTAACAAAAATAAATTTCAATGCGCATATTCTTATACCTTTTAATAGTAATTCACATAAACGTGTATAATGCGAATTACCCTGATTAATGTTAAACATTTTCTCAGTAAGTTGTTGTTGTATTATAAAAATTTGACCATTATAACGTGATATAAGGACATTTATATCATTCCTTCGGTAAGGAAATTCCATAATTTGTTCCAATATTCCGCGTCTTGTAAAGACATTAATCAATTTGTCATTTTCATTGCCTTTGGATATATTTTCTTTATTTCTATCACCGAAATAATTATACAATAAGGGTTTTAACAGTCCTAACTGTGTTTCTGGCTCATATTTTATCAAGGGTTTGTACTCCCCATTTAAATTTAGTGGATATTCATTTGTAAGAGGCTCTGTGAAAACATATCGGAGGCTTTGAGCTTCTTTGAAATGGGCGTGATTAATATCGTAAACATTAACAATGTTGGGTTTTTCCATATACCTTGGCTTCTTTTCTAATTTTTTTAAATATTTCGAAGTTATTGAAAGCATTAAGATCGGATTCCTATTGCTTTTACTTGTCATTTTTACATATAATTAAGAAAACTTAACTTGATTAATTTTCTGGGTATGTACACAGTACAGTAAGCTTTCTTTGTTCTTTCGGAAAGAGGGATTGCCCAAAACGTTGATTATTCATGTTTGGGGTTTACATTTTTAAAAATGACTTTTAACGCATGACACATTTTTCTAAACAAAACACGCATGCAATATGTTAGTGCGGTACACACCATGGTACCTTGATTTGAAAAGTAACGGCCACCAATGGACATGGTACAATATGGCCCGTTCTTATATCTTTCCTTTATAGTCCACTCATGGTAGATGAATGCATCAACGCTTGGAAACATTGATATGTCAAAACATTTTAAATGTCTTTTCAAATATAAGTAGATTTTTATATATTATCTTAAACGACGCCATCCGGAGGTTATTATAACAGGCGTTTTTCAACAATTGTTACTAATTTAAATAAAAAAACAGAGTTTGGCTTGTTTGTTCGGGATACCATAGTATTTTGTTGTTGCAAAATGGTCAGACCATGGTAGAAGAATATAGGTAGACGCGTCGACACAGCTGCTTGGACAATGAACTGTCAAACCAATTTTGGAATTGAAAATTTTGAATGAAAAATTACTTAAATTTGTAAAAATTGTTGAAAAACGTGAATTATAATAGCCTCCGAATGACGTAGTATAAGAAAGCATATAAAAATTTAGTTATATTTGAAAAAAACGTTTAAATTTACAATGATCCCAAGCGTTGATGCATCTACCTGTATTCTTCTGCCATGGGTCAGACTTAATCCCTTTATTGTTGTTTTTATAAAAACAACGTTTGTTTATTAGTGGAGAACGATGGTAATGTTTACCGGGGGGTAAGGTAAGTTCGTCATTCCGTTTATAACTCATCGATATAATCATTTTAGACCCAACAAAGTATATATATTCTTAATCAGCGCAAAATTCTAAGACGATTTAGCATTTTCCGTCCGTCTGTTGTAATCACGCTACAGTCAAAACGATTTGAGGTAGGAAGCTAAAATTTTGCACAGACCTCTCTTTTGTCTGCAGGCAGGTCAAGTTCGAAGATAACGTATAGCCCCCATATAACGGTACCCCCGATATTCTGTATTTTGATCAGTTTAGCCACATTTTTCAATGGAATTGTATGAAAATCCCCTGGAAGATAATTCTCTATATAGGTCCACAATATCCTATATCCCCCATATAACGGTACCCCCCCGATATTCAGTATTTTGATGATTTTAACAACAATTTCCAATGGAATTGTCTGAAAATCCACACAAGCAGTTCCTTGTGAGTCCTTTCCCATGGAATATAGTTTTTTATACAGGTCCACGATATCGTATAACCCCCATATAACGGTACCCCCCGATATTCGGTATTTTGATGAATTTAGCCACATTTTCAACGGAATTGTCTGAAATTCTACACAAGGAGTTCTATTTGAGTGCTTTAACCCCAGAAAGAGATTTGTCTATATAGGTCCACAATATCCACAATTTATGAATGGATATACATACATCGGCACCTTCTTATATTAGGTATTTTTAAGCTTTTTACAGAATTTTTGATGGATTTTATTTTTTGAAAATTTCCTAATTCGTTTTAAATGGTGGAGAGTGAGCAAAGTTCGGCACGGCCGCACCTACTGCATTTTTACTTGTTTTACAGAGATATGGCAAGCATTTTGCAAAAGTAACTGGTAGTCACCGCATTTTTTCACATTAGCATCTTCATTTTTGTTTAAAAACAAAAAAAAAACGAATTTGTAATAAATTTCGCGAAATAAATTTATATATTTGTTTTATCTATTTTTAATTTAAATAAATTTTGCTGTTATTGCCACATTATCAATATAAAATATGGCAACATGAATTTAGTAAACTTTACGTTAAAAAATAAAGGATAGTTCATACTTAAATGAAACTTGTAATAACGAAAAACGATTTATGTGTCCGGCAACACCACTTTTTTATCTATAGACAAAAAGTAATAACCGACCTATGTGTCCAACAACATCACTTTTTTATCTATCGGAAAGATGTAATAACCGACCTATGAGGGTAGAAAAGTTTCGTAAATCTACTTACAAATTTGCACACATCAACTTGTTTTCATTTATTCAATATTTTTTCTCATTAGAACAGTGTCGGCTTGTTTGTTCGGGATAGCGTAGTATTTTGTTGTTGCAAAATGGTCAGGCATTATCCCTTTATTTTTGTTTTTATAAAAACAACGTTTGTTTATTAGTGGAGAACAATGGTAATGGTTACCAGGGGCTAAGGCAGGGAATACCTAGGTTTCGGAAAGAGCCACCAATCCTCATCAGTTCCCTTGTTTTTTGTCTGGGATATTCTCCCCAAAAGTTATTTTAAAAATAATTTTTATGACAAAAAACATTTTTACCCAAGTGACGAGATCGTAAGCTCAATAGAATAGGAACCAAAGAATTAAATAAAACTAAAATTCTTTTGGAAAGCCTTCTAAATCTAAAGGTGCAAGTACATAATAAGCTTGAAGTCATGGCTAGGCATATTAATGTCAAATTATAATGGAAAACGACGGCAGGATTTTAGTCCGGCTCTGTAATTCCTTTATGAAATGCCACAAAATATGCCTAGCCAAGACTTCAAGCCTCTTATGTACCAGAGGGCTGCAACGAGTATGCAAAAATTCAAGCATACTCGGTTTCTTACATGATTTTTGTTGATGCAGTCGTTTAGTTTGATCTGAATGAAATGACCGTTTTCGCTTTTGATCGAATCGAACGCTCATTTTGAATCACTTCACTCACAATCAAACATGAGCGTTCAAGACGGTTTGATGTGTTCAGCAACATGAGTTGATCGAACACATGAATGTAAATGAGCAATCACAACCGTGATTGTTTTCTTTGAATCGAGTTCGCTCAGCGTCATTGTTTATTCAACCATTTAATCAAGTTGGGACAGTTTATTTTGACTTTTTTATTATTTGAAATGGAAGAATATTGTGATAGTGCGACCGAAATTGTTGCAAGTAGAAACTACACAGGTGAAGGTAAATCTTGACCAATATTGTAAAATAAAAAAATATTTAAACATTTTTAGTTTTCTAAATACCAATGATGTGTTTGTTTATTAAAAAATTTAATTTTGTTTTTTTTAATAAGTTACTGAAGTCTAGCATACCAAAAACCCAAATAAAATGAAAAATTGTATGCTTATTAAATATAATTTGTACCAATTCCTTTAATGGGAACATCTTTTAGTTATGAAATCCTTAGTAAAATTACAATCATGATTTCGCTCAAATTCGAACATTTGTGTTTTAATCAAATCAAATCACTCACTTAACTAGGATAAATAAAACCGATCAGACTCATCATAGATGATCGACCCGTTATGAACAATTCAACATAAGTTCGTAAACAAATAACTCATGTGAGCTGTTTGATTGCGATCACAAAACTTCGATCAATACATGTTTGATCACAACTTTTTCGTTTGGCTTGAGTAACTCGAATGAACATGTTGCATCTGACCGACTGATTGAGTTTGATTGTATTTCCACTGTGTGTGATCAAGCCTACTCAATCATACTCATTGCAGTCCTCTGTTATGTACCTAGACCCTTACAACCGCACTTATAAACATTTACATCTTTCTCCACTTATTATGTATTCGTTCAACCTTAACGAAGTAGCATAACCATGTAAGTTGCAACAACAAAATTTTTTCTCATTTTAAAAATCAGTTAAACAGGGCGAAAAAATTAATGAAATGTCTGGATGCAAGTCCCGCTATGACGCGTACATTGAATTTAAAATTATTTTGTTTTTATTTTTCAAATCAATAAATACGTACACAAAATTGGCAGAAGTCGGGCATACTTAGAAAAAAATGTAATCAGCTGGTTGCTCTACCTTACCTTTTAATTGTACCATACTAATAGAGTGAAGTTTAACAAACTGGATTTATTAGATCTACTGGGTTATGCCAAGTTATTTCTGAACATTTAGTTGGGGTAACCTAATTTAAGATGATTTATTTGAAGTATGAGAAAGGAAGTGGAAGAAATATATATAGCGGGAGCGCGTTAAAACTATTCGCTAGTTTTGCCATGGATTTGGGAGATTGAACTGTTTGGATCATATGTTTGAAAGAAAATCCAGGCATATTATTCATTTTTAGCGCTATTTAACTCATTTTAATGAGTAAAAATATTGAATAAATAAAAACAACTTGTTGAATGTGAATTTGACAGGAAGCGGGCATAGCCTTAGGACTGTATTTCTGTAGTTTTACGAAGTTACTGTACCTCCTTATTGTACCATGTCAAATCTCATTTATATGTAAACGTACTGTTAGAAGGCTACAAATGCCGCAAAGTTAATGTCTGCTTATCTATACAAATGTTCTGTTCCAGAACTGCAAGGATATAAAAGCTTTTACTACGATAACTGGTACAGGTAGTCGCTTCGACACAGTTATTGGGACAATGAACTGTCAAATCGATTTTGGAATTGAAAATGTTGAATGAAAAATTATTGAAATTTGTAAAAATGTATTCAGAAATGCATATTGTAACAACCTCCGATTTGCATCGTATAAGAAAATATATAAAAATCAACTTATTTTTGACAAAACAATTTTAAAATTTTAACATATCAATGTTCGCAAGCGTTGATGCATCTACTTATATTCTTCTACTATGTATCTGAAACATAAACCAATGGAAAATTCAAACAATAATCGTGTGAACAAGATATCATCACTGTCATACTACACCGGAGACCTAAATCCAATGGATCCATTTAGAGAATGGTGCTTTTGAACAATTTCGTTCCAGAGCATCACAACCTTCACAACTATGGATAAAATCCAAATCAATAAATTCAATAAATAAAACTAGTGTGGAAAATTCCGGCATTTTTATAAATTGAGTTATTTAGAAATGTATCAGAGGCTGGATGAACCAAAACAGCCCACAACTCTTGTGGGCAAATACATTAAAGTGTTTTTGGTAGTTGCGTTATATTGGTTTGTATTCACCACATTTTTTTGAAATCCATAAATTGCCCCACATTTATGTGCATTTACAATTCACATTATCTATCTTTTAGGTTTGTGTCGATTCTGACAGTATTCGTTAATAAGCATTTACTTAGCAGTGACAGTGTTAAACTGGAGGCACCACTATTTGTGACCTGGTTTCAGTGTGTAATTAGTGCTTTGATATGCTTCATTATTTCCCGTATATCGAAAGTATATCCGTCAGTTATAAAATTCCCCGAAGGAAATCCATTGGACATTGACACATTTCGAAAGGTTAGTCCATTTGATAATACTTGGAAGAAACTGTACGTACTTGTGTTGAAAGGTTCAAGACTATCCAGAGCCCTTCAACAAATTTTGTTTTATGAACACTGGAACAGGTTGGAATTGATCAATATTAATTCATTTTTAGTCATAACATTAAAAAACAAGTACAAGTACATACACAAAACTCGGATATGCAACCAAATTTTATTTTTAATCGTTGATGTAATACTTACTCCTATGAAATAACACCTAACTATTGGAAAAACTTTTACGCCCCTTTGTTTGTGGTATATCCATTGGAATTGGCAATTTGAATTCAATGGTGATAATAAATTTGGAAAACTGTTAACGTACTACAATACTTGAGAAACCACTAAAAAGTTAAAAGCTAATTTTGTAGCTTGCCCTTACGAAACAATTAAGGAAATATAAAATTTGTAGAAAATTATTAATTGAGGCAATTTGTATACCCCATCATGCAAGAGTCAAACACTAAGGGGATATTTCTTCGTTGAAACCGACGTTCTCGCAAGTAACTATCGGTGGCATACATTTATTTCTCTCTTATTAATTTTATCCATTCTTTTAAAAAAATATTTGTTTTTTCCTTTTTATTTCCAGATATTACCGCTCTCGGTACTTTTCACTTTGATGGTTGGTACGAATAATTTGTGCTTGAAATATGTTGGTGTGGCCTTCTATTACGTTGGACGTTCACTGACTACAGTGTTCAATGTAATACTAACATATATCATGCTCAAACAGAAAACCAGCTTTCCCAGCGTACTATGCTGTGCCGGCATTGTTGCAGGTTTTATGCTTGGTGTCGATCAGGAAAGCCTAACCGAATCGTTCTCTTGGCGTGGTACAATATTTGGCGTTTTAGGTTCATTAGCCTTGGCCATGTATTCGATACATACAAAAAAAGCTTTGCATCATGTCAACCAAGAAGTTTGGCTTTTATCCTATTACAATAATGTATATTCATCTATAATTTTCTTGCCATTGATTATTTTAAACGGTGAATTAGAAGCTATAATAACATATCCAAAATTATTTGAATTTTGGTTTGTTCTAACGATGTTGATTGGAGGCATGTGTGGATTTTCCATTGGCTTTGTTACAGCGTTACAAATTAAGGTAAATCTGCTGGGATTGTTACATTCCCTAAGAGTCTCTAGGTTCCCGCATTAACCAATTTCATAACACAAAGCGGTGCTTACATATTAAAAATATTATTGACAAATTTATATTTCAGATAACCTCACCTTTAACGCACAATATTTCAGGCACAGCCAAAGCCTGTGCACAAACTGTGATAGCCACTCAATGGTATAATGAAAATAAATCACCTCTATGGTGGACTTCAAATTTCGTAGTCTTAGGAGCCAGTGCAGCCTATACTCGTGTTAAACAATTGGAAATGCAAAGGCAACATAATCGCACAACAGGAACCATGACACAAAAAGCTTGATAGCTACTTACGCGACAAACATGCTGCAATTTTTAGGCATAATACCAAATCGATTGTACATTAAGACAGGTTTTAGGCTATATAAGTTCGTTTATGTATATAAGAAAGAACAAGTATTTCATTCCCACAAAACTTTATACAAAATAAAATACACGAGAAAATTTGTGATATATGTGTTTTTCATATCATTCTGTCAAATAACAAAACGAAAAAAAATAAATCAAATTCGATGATGGAAAAAATTGTCCAAACGGTAAATATTGTAGAAAATGCATTTCTTTCGGAGTGTGTGATTTGATTCAAGCATGACACATCGCAAACAAAAATCTTATAACGTACCTCCCGATATTCGGTATTTTGATGATTTTAGAATCATTATTCAGAGGAATTGTTTCAAATTTGGTGTTTGAAGTTCGAAATGGATTCTACAGCCTAAGGCAGAAAATTACCTATGCAGGTCCACATCTTCGTATTGCCCCCATATAACGGTAACACCCAATATTCGGTATTTTGATGATTTTAGCGTCATTATTCACCGTAGTAGTTTCAAATTACGTATTTAGAGTTCGTAATGGGAACTACAGTCTGTGACAGAAAATTGTCTATGCAGGTCCAGTTCCAGGTCTTCATATAGGCGCCATATATCAGTACCTCGACGAGTTTACGTACAATACTCACCGAAATTTTTTGAGATGTCGTATTTGAACTTCGTAATGGATGCTACAGCCTATGACAGAAAATTGTCTATGCTGGTCCAGGTCTTCGCACAGCTCCGATATAACGGTACCTCCCTATATACGATATTTTGATGATTTTAGCTCCATTATTCACCGTTTATTTCAAGTTTTCGAATTTGTATATGATAATGGCTTATGACAAACAATGCCCATATAGGTCCACGTTGTATAGACCCCAATAAAACGGCTATATTCGGTATTTTTAAAATTTAAACTGAATTTTTTAAGGATTTTATTTTTTCAAAATTTCCAAATTTGTTCCAATGGTGGAGGGTATTCAAAGTTCGGCCCGGCCGAAATTAATACTTTTTAACTTGTTTTTGTTCCATTCTAATCATTTAAAGAAATAAGATAAATTATATATATCGCTAACAAATGGGAGCATTTATCGAAAAAATAAATTATGAAATTTAAAAATTCAAAATAGAAGAATTTTATAAATTTTTCAGGAAAACTGAAAATTATGAATGAAAAATATAATGTCTTAACATTTAAATGAATGTAAATTTTGTTCTCTCCCTCATTCGAGGTACGCTTTTTGTCCATGAATTGAAATATTTGCAGAAAACTGGAAAGTAAGAGGCACTATTTTAAAAAATTTAGCATCGACAAAAAATAGATTGACAAGTTTCTATTTAGCGAAAATATATATAAAAAAAACAGAAAACACAAAAAAAAATATATGTTTAAAATGTCAAAATTTACAGAAAAAGAAAAACAATAATAGCTTCAATTCATATTAATGCGAATTTCATATGTTTTCATACAAATTTCCATTAAAATCAACAAAAATTTTCAAAAAATTATGTTACTAAGAATTTCGAACCGTGCCGTATGAACAGGTTAATTGGTGTATTCTTCATTTTCAGACCGAACAACCTAAATGGAATTGTAATGAGAACATATTATAATTTACGATGATCTAACTAATATACCAAGTAAGTAGTACCCTCGTTGTTTATTAAGAAAAGTTATTAATACCTACTTACTTTAAGGTAAAACTAAGCAATAAAGCCGTAAACGGTGTAGTTGTTATAGTCTTTGTGTCAATTTAATTATGTAATATTTTCTTAAACAAGGAAACACCATTCCTACAAATGGTTGTGTTAAAGAGATTTAAATTTTTCATATAATTATTTCAGTCCTTCAAATCCTTCGCACTGGACATGCCACAAAACGGACTGCAAGTACAAAACTCCTTTAATACCATAATTTTTAACAATAAAGAAAACATCGCGAAGAACTTATTTACCTTTCACCGTTTAGAAAAAGCATCCATTTGAAATTAATGGGATTCTGGTTCCCAGAGAGATTCGTTAGTCTGAAAACTGCAAAATACCGAATCTCGGACGATGCCGTTATGTGAGGGCTGTACAAGCAATAGGTGTGCTTGGTTATCCTTAAATTTGCAACAATTTTTGCAAAAAAGAATAAAAAAAATAAAATAAGGGTTTTATGTATTCTCACCTCAAATTTGTTTGTATCACTCGCATCAACACTAGAATAAATGGTCATTGGAAAACTTACCTGCGAATACGCTTTTCAACATTCCGGGCTTAAGTCGTTGGCTGGCTTCTTCGTAAAAGAACCCTGTATTATTTTACCCTGGTAGTGAGCATGGCAGAATTAAGAAGGTAAAGCCATGCTATCATATGTTTACAATTTTTTTCAAAAATTTTCGTTTGACAACATCTCATTGTCAAAAATTATTTTCACAAATTCATTATATACACAGAAATTTGAAATGGGAACCCATTTTCTGTTCAGTGAAATTTGAAAAGGTAAGTTACAGAAAATATAGAGATAGCTTCTTAATTTTACTATGGTAGTAAGTTTTATTGCAGTATTTTTTGAAAGCGTTTTGGTTTGTTGGATCCCTAATGTCAAAAGGGTGTTTTTTTAAGCTAGATAGAACTTTAAATTGTAAAAAGCAACACAAAAAACTAAATTTTGATGAAACTTTTTTTATTTGTTTCAGTATACTCGGACAAATCATCATGAGAGACCATTATATGCATCGTTCTTTCGCCGATTGGGCTTTAGAGCAGTTGGCAAATGACCCGTTGTTTATCGCATATTTGGCTTAACGGGTTTGTTAATAAGCAAAATTGCCACATATGGAGTCCATTACATCCAGAAAAATGCACCGTATGGTGCGGTTTTCACGCTGGTGGCATCATCGGACCTTATTTCTTCAAAAATGAGGCCGGAGCTCGCGTTAAGGTCTATGAAGATCGTTACCGCACCATGATCAATGATTTTTTGTTTAAAAATATGGATGACATTAATCCAGAGGAGATGTGGTTTCAACAGTATGGCGCTACGTGCCATACGGCTAACGCAACCATCGACTTATTAAAATCAAAATCTGGCGATAAGTTAATTTCGAGAAGTGGACCTGTCAATTGGCCTCCAAGGTCGTGCGACTTGACACCAATCGATTACTTCCTGTGGGGCTACGTTGATAAACCAGCAACAATTGACGCTTTGGAGAGCAGCATTGTTCGTGTTATTCGTGACATACGGCCAGCAGTGCTCGAAAAAGTGGCCAAAAATTGGACGTCCAGAATGCACTTCGTCAAGAACAGCCGCGGTGCCCATATGCCCGAAATCATTTTCAAATGTTAATGTCACGTATTGATATTTCGAATAAAAAAAATTGATTAAAATTTAATTTTTTGTGTTATTTTTTACAATTTCAAGCTCTATCGGGCTTAAAAAAACACCCTTTACATTGAAATCAAAGTACAAAAGTTGACCAATAAATAAACAAAAACTGTATAAATTTTGACTTTAAATTTGACATTGTTTTAATAAAAATGAATTATAATTAATAAAAAAAATTAAAAAATGGTATTAAAAAATTACAAAAACATAATATTTAGTATTACAATAAGCATAATACCTCACAAATAAGACTAAAGTAATACTAAAACTGTTAAAAATCACTTTCAAATATGCATGCATAGTAAAATTAAGAAGGTAAAGTCTTTTCAAATAGGCATATCCATCTCTACATTTTTTGTAACTTACCTTGTCATATTTCACTGCATAAAAAACAGGTTCCCATTTCTGATTTTTGTATATACAATGGAATTTTGAATACACATTCTGACAATGAGATGTTGTATACGTATATTTTTGAACATATTGTAAACATATGTTTGCATGCCTTTACCTTCGTAATTCTACCATGAACGCAAGGTTGTTTTAAAGAGCATATTTAAATTTCACATATTTATGTATTTGGTAACACTTGAATTTATTTATTAATCTTGTTGTAAATCACTTTAATTGTTAACAAAATCGGCATAATATTTTGGTATAAACGTCTTATCGGTTCTGCCATTGTATATCTCATATGTTATTTTTTTGGTAGGTGGATTAAGTTGAAATTCATACACTGTCTCCAGAGAGTTGACACCATGCATAAGATTCTCGACTTTCTCCAAAAATGCATGTAAAAAGCCGAAACAAACTTCTGGTTCCCAGGGATAATTCTGAAAAAAACGTAAATAAAAATGAAGGAAGATATAAGGATATTAAAAAGATTTTAATATAAACAAAATTGACAGCCCACATTATTTGACGTAGAGCGTCAAAATTTAGCAGAACAATTTGTATTGTGTCTAGGATGGTTGGTATTGAAAATGAGATATATCGGTCCACGTTTTGGTATAGTCCCCATATAACGGTACCTCCGGACATTCGTTATTTCGATGATTTTTGCCACATTTTTTATGGATTTGTCTAAACATTGTAATTTGTTGGTCATAATGGGTTCTAGCTCTGATGGCGTAACATTGCATGTATAAGTCCACGTTTTGGTATAGCCCCCCATATAACGGTACCTCACGATATTCGGTATTTTGATGATTTTTGCCACATTTTTTTTCGCATATTTGTCTCAGAATTGGTATTTGTAGATCATAATAGATCCTAGTTCGTGTGGCGAAACATTGTATGTATAGGTCCACGCTTTGGTATGGCCCCCATATAACGGTACCTCCCGATACTCGGTATTTTAATGATTTTTGCCACATTTTCCCACGAATGTGTCTAAAAATTGGTATTTGTGGGTCATAATTGGTTCTTGTGTTTCCATTACCCCAAAGTGGAGGGTATTAAAAGTTTGGCCGAACTTAATGTTTTTTTACTTGTTTTTTATACCAAATTTTATAAAATTTGAATAATTTTTTCAAAAAGGTCAATTTTAAAATTGGCTTGACAGTTCATTGTCCCTGCTGTTGTGCCGATGCGACTACCTGTATTCTTCTTGGCTTCTGCCATTGGCTGGCTTTTTCGTAATAGAACAAAGAAGTTTTAGGTTGAATTAGTGCCCTTATACTTTTTCACCCTTCGTTTTTTGTTGTTGTTTTGCGAAAAAGCTAGTAGATAACTTAAGAATACGTTTAAAAACAAAATCTCTACTCTCTGATAATTGACCAATCACAATTAATTTGATGCTGATGATATTAGTACATTTTTGTTTATATCTCTGCCAAATAGCCAAAAATGATCTATGGAGACATTTTATATGCAAGAAAATAATCATGGTAGAAGAATATAGGCAGATGCATCAACGCTTGGGATCATTGATATGCCAAAAAAAATTAAACGTCTTTTCAAATATATGTAGATTTTTATATGTTTTCTTATACGACGTTATTATATAACGCGTTTTTCAACAACGTTTATAAATTGAAATAATTTTTTATTTCCAAAATTGGTTTGACAGTTCATTGTCCCAGCAGCTGTGTCGATGCGTCTACCTATATTCTTCTACCATGAAAATAATACATCTTTCAATGTATTATCATGCGCAGATAAAATTTTAAAGCTGCAAGCATGGCACAAATATAGAAGCTAAAAAAAAGCTACCACCTAATACAAATTTTTCTTTTGGTCCCCCTCATGGTAGAATAATACAAGCAATATTTCGTATTGTTGTACAACAAACGTAATAACAATCACATACTAATTTGTTTTTGTACGTATTACGTACAGGGTTATATGTCCAAAAATGTAAACAAAACAAGTCATTTTCAAAAAAAATATTTTAATTACAAAAACATTCATTTTTGGATTATTGAATTGAAAACTGCAGAAGAATATTTCTTAACATACCTAATTTGCTAGCGAATGCTTTTATATCATTCCCCTGATTAGTTGTATAGTTGTTAGCTTTAGGTCCAAATTTCTCAACACTTCAAGCATTCGCTAAAAAATTCGTGGTAACATCCTTTTCAAATTGAAACCAAACTGCATATATAGATACAGTATTTTCCATATTGCAATTTTAAGAAACATATTAATCCGGTATGCAATCTGCATACTAACAGAAAGCATCACTGTGTCCAGCATTTGTACGGCATTAGTATTGCGGTACACTCCACAGTCGCAAATGTTTCAAGAATAGCGTTAAGCTGGGAATACATAAAGCGCTTATTTGGCTGGCTTAAGTCATCGGCTGGCTTCTTCGGAAATGAACAAAGGAGCCTAGGGCCAAAATCGAACTAGGTCAACCTAAAACTCCTTTGTTCATTTACGAAGAAGCCAGCCGATGACTTAAGCCAGCCAAATATGCGCTTTATGTATTTCCAGCCTTATTTATATTTTGCATTGAAACAATTATGGTAAAATTAAGAAGGTAAAGTCATTTCAAATAAGCATTCCCATCTCTGCATTTCCTGTAATTTACCTTGTCACATTTCACTACATAAAAACAGGTTCCCATCTCTGATTTGTTCGTGTACAATGGAGTTATAAATACAAATCTTGACAATGAGATGTTGTCAAATGAATAATTTTTGAAAAAATTGTAAACATATGATTGCATAGCTTTACCTCCTTGGTTCTACCATGGAAGCAATAAAGAAATAAAATTTTATTTGTTCATGATATTACCATGGTAGAACTAAGAAGGTAAAGTCATGTATACATATGTTTACATTTTTTTCAAAGTTATGCATTTAACAACATCACATTGTCTAAATTTATGTTCATAAATCCATTGTATATACCCAAAATCAGAGAAGGGAACTGTTTTTAATGTATTAAAATTTGACAAGGTAAATTACAGAAAATGCAGAGCTGGGAATGCTTATTTATTTCATTGTACCATGGATAATTGGAATATGCAGTATTTTCCTTGCAGAGGGTCACCACTGTAAATAAAAACTTATTTTCCGAGACCAATTGTCTCCATATTAGGTCTTTTGATATATCATCAAACATCAGCTGAGCAGCATTTATGGTCTACTGAGGGTGTATTTAAGCATACGGGGTTTATACTCTGGATCTAATGAAACCAGCGTGTTAAGGTGAGAATACAAGAAACGCTTTTTTGAGTGGCTTAAACTCCTTTGTTCCTCTACGAAGAAGCCAGCCGATGACTTAAGCTAGTCAAAAGAGGCGTGATCAAGTCAGATTGATTAAATCGTAAAAACATTTTTCACAATATCCATTTCTTATCATAACTATTATTCATCCCAAAATGTAAAATGTATTCTTCCCTATTTCAACAGAATTTGAACATTTTCAATATTACTCAAATCAATTCATCTGTTCCACAACCTGCGAGAGTATAACATAACCTCTTGCAGTTCTGGAACAGTCCAAATACATAAGGCTACCAGCTGGTTACAATTTTTTTTCTGATTGCCCGACTTTGAAAAATAAAAAAATCAATATCAATGACTAGAGAAATGTAGAATGCGCCGCTAAATATTAATCTGTTTTGCTATGAAGTTGAAATTTTGAACTATTTGGACCATGTTTATCAATGAAAATTTTAGGCTTTTCGTTCTATTTCGCCTTAGTAACTCATTTTAAAAATCAGGAAAAAATATCAAAAAAAGATGAGAACAAATTGTTGTATTTAATTTGAATATTTCTAGCCTCAGGGCTGAATTTTAGTAGTTTTACAAAACCGTTCTACCTCCTTGTTGTACCATGCATACACATATAGAGCATATGTTCCAGTACCTGCAAGAATGTACTAGTTTTGCAATATTTTGTCGTTGTCAAAACTTGTACATTCTTGTAGATCTGGAACAGAGCAACACAAAAACTGTGTATGTGTTTTGACATTACGAGACCACTATGAGAAAACATTCAGGTAATTTGTATGAATTGTCTGAAAATGGGTAAATGTACCATTTTCTCTTGTAGATAAATGTCGTATAACACCCACATAACGGCACCTTTTGATATTTGGAGTACCACAAGTTCCCGATAATGTATAGCTATTACATACACCGCTCAATTTAGCAGAAAATCATAAGATGCACGTAAGACCAGTCGATGAAAAGCTATACGTTTAAAAAAACCCAATTTAACTCGACGTCGAGTAACTTGCTTCCTGCTTTTCGGTCTCATTTCCGATTGCCTTAGAAAATGTGGACATAAAACAAATTGTATGTGCCAAAATAATTGATCTGCCCCAGAACTGCAACAACGCAACAATTTTTACTACGATAACCCATTTTTCCTTTATGATATAAAAAAATGCAAAATTTTAGATTTTAGCAGGTTCTGGGCTGGATTCTTGTTCTATGAAAATATGAAATGAAAAATATTACTATATAATATTTTTTATTTGAAACTTCTTTCCTCTATAAAAGTTTTCATTTCACATTTTCATAGAACAAGAATTGAGGCCCTGGAATATGGAAAATAATTATGATTACCTTTGGTATATCCGACACTTTACAGTGTTCAATGGGCTTTTTGACAATACCCTCTTTGTCCTTACATGCCACATAGATGTCGTCGACATTGCTTAGACGGGATTGAATCCAATATCGCAAAAATTTATATTCTTTCTTTGACCATTCCCACATTTGTTTTGAAAAAACAAAGCGGCATTGGTTCAAGAGGTCCATATCATTTCTAAAAAGTAAGACATGGAAAAATTACATGTTTTACACTGTGATCTGAAACTATTTTATAAACCACTTACATGTTTTCCAACATTTTGTCGGATATGATGCCCTGTACCTCTCCGGCATAAAGAAGAGAAAATTTCCCTAAATAGGCATGATGTAAACAGCTCAAAGCAATGTTCATATCAATCGGTTGATCCATTTTTGGTAGTTCATCGGGAGAGTCTGCAAACACCCATAGAATATGAATATTGTAGTAAGATAGAATAATAAATGTCCCAGCAACAAGTTTGCACAAACAAGTTAGAAAGTGCCAGACATTTATATATCCTCAACATTTGTACATCTGAACATGGCTAGTGCCATACAGATAGGACGTACATATTCATCTTAATACTGGATCTAGTTTCGGTAGACCAATAGTTATACTTTCGCTCCTGGCGTAAGTTTGTTGTATATCAATATGCTTGTATTATATCGGGGACTCGATTCGTTTTATAGAACATATACTATTAGTCACATATTACTTTACACCCTCTTACTCAAAACATTTCACATTTTTGAATTTGTTTCTTAATATGTCACAATTCATGGCATAAAATTGTCTGAGTTTTTACATTATTTTAATTCTGGATCATGTTATCTTAAATATAATGGGGAAAGAATTACAAATTTATACAAATTAGATACTAGATTATAACAAAAATAAAAACTACTACAATTTTTACGTGTCACATAATACTTTACACAAATGACATTTTTCATTTATTTTTCTAGAAATTCACCAAACAAAGCTTCTATTATAGTTTTACCCGAACTTTACAGAGCGGGACTGAATATTATACTTTGTAGGAGTTTTCGTGTAGAAAATATATCAACTTGAACACAGTTTTTAAATTTGATGCCATTCGAAGTATCATGGTTTGACATTTGAATAATTGTTATTGTTTGCTAGTGGAAGGAACGAGGTTAGTAAAAATGGAGCGCTAAACAAATGAACAACACATTCTTATTGTGAAATTGTATTACCTAAATGGTGAAAGTTTTTCGGTTACAGTTCTCAAATTTTGATCAATTTGTAAAAACAACAACGTGTTTTGCACTAGTTCGATCGATGGAAATATTAGGATTTGCAAAGTTGGACGGGTGTAAAACCGTTTTTTGAAGAGGCACGTACCAAATGAAATATACCCTCTCTAGCCATATAGCTGAGGGTATAAAAATTTAAAAAGTTTACAACGAATAGTAAACTTAATAGAGAGGGCAAATTCTCTGTCCCCAATTATTTTGGCATTTTCGGATTTAAGATTTCTTGAAATCCTTACATTTTAGGTATATACGAGAATTATTTCGGTAGAAACTTTTGGCCCTGTTTTAATAATAAGTTTAAAAACTCCCTATAATCGGGATCATAGCAAATCAAAATACTCACTTAGACATAAATACTTATCATAAATTTATGCACTCGGCCCAGATTACATTAAAACTTCAAATCTTACCAAGGAATTCATATATATTTTGAACACATTTTAGGCTTAAAGTCATACTTGTCACGAGTTTGGGCAAATTCATAAGGACGACGTTGACAAATGGCATTGTAGACCTTTTTTGTCGTACGAAAACCTTTGTAGATATATTTTCTGCATTTTTACACACTCCACCATTCTATGGAGGGATATTAGCTTTGCCATTCCGTTTGTAACTCCTCCAAATAATCATGATGGGCCCTACAACGTATATATATTCTGGATTAGAACAGTGTTGGCTTGTTTGTTCGGGATACCGTAGTATTTTGTTGTTGCAAAATGGTCAGGCTTAATCCCTTTATTATTGTTTTTATAAAAACAACCTTTGTTTATTAGTGGAGAGCGATGGTAATGTTTACCAGGGGGTAAGGCAGGGAATACCTAGGTTTCGGAAAGAGCCAATTCTCATCAGTTACCTTGTTTTTTGTCTGGGATATTCTCCCCAGAAGTTATTTTAAAAATAACTCCTATTACAAAAAAAAATCTTTTTTTACCCAAGTGACAGGATCGTAAGCTCAATAGAAGAGGAAACAAGAATTAAAAAGAACTAAAATTCTTTTGGAAAATCTTTTAAATCTAACAACCGCACTCATAAACATTTTCTTCTTTCTTCACTTGTTATGCTTTCGTTTAACATAACCATGTATGTTGGTTTTGTCTGTTACAACAAAAACTCCTTCGTCGACCGTGCCTCGTCTATTAATAGAACAGTGTTGGCTTCTTTGTTCTGGGTCAGCGTGAAATTCTAAGACGATTAACGCGATGTCAGTCTGTCTGTCAGTTGTAATCACACTATCTTCCGAACGAATTGAGTTTGAAGATTAAAAATTTGCACACATGTGTATTTTGCCACGTTAAGTCCATGTCTGTCCACGTTTTCGTACAGCCGCCATATATAGCGGTACCTCCCGATAGTCGGTATTTTGATGATTTTAGCGACACCAATAACCTGTATCATTTCAAATTATGTATTCGAAGATTGTAATGTGTACTACAGCTTATGCTTAAAAATTTCGGACGCAGGTCCACGTCTTCGTATAGCCCCCATATGACGGAACTCTCGAATATTAGGTATTTTGATGATTTTGTGCACATTTTTCAATGGAATTGTCTGAAAATCCTCACAAGAAGTTCATTCTAAGTACTTTCCCCTGAAATAGAAATATCCATATAAGTCCACGATATCGTATATTCCCCATATAACGGTACCCCCGATATTCTGGTTATTGTAGCTACATATCGTATAGCCCTCAAAGCCCGGCCGAACTTACTGCTTTTTTACTTGTTATTTCCTAGGATGCTGCATTTTGTTTAGAAAAATCCTCCAAAGTAAACTATTGAACCCCGTTTCGTAAAGCACTTTATTTTTATCGATACAACGAAAATTTGCGATAAAAGTTCTTGTAAAACTGTAAAAGAGAGCAATACAAAGCTTAACTAACGATAAAGTACCGTTCATCGACGATTTTCTGGAAAAACAAATGGACAAATCACATTGTGTAAAGTATTTTATAACACTCGAAAATTGCATAGTTTTTATTATACCCTGCACTTTGAAATGGAGGGCATATTAACTTTGTCATTTTGTCTGTCTGTCTGTTGAAATCACGACACAGCCCACGTTATTTGACACAGAGCTTTAATATTTGGCACAATAGTTTGTATTTTGTCTAGCATGGTTGGTATTGAAAATGAAATATATTTTGGTATAGCCGCCATCCTCCTGATATCCAGTATTTTGATGATTTTTTCCACATTTTCCACGGATTTTTCTAAAAAATATTTGTAGTTCGTAATGAGTTTCAGATGCGGTGGAAGAACATAAAATGTCTAGGTTCGCAAATATAACGGTAGCCACATTTCTCATTTACCCACGAAATTGTTTCAAATTTGGTTTTTATGACTTGCAATATATAACAATCCTTGTAGTATAAAATTGTCTGACGTCTTCACTCACTTTATGGCTTTTGAAAAGTTTAACTGCATTAACCAAACGGTCTTACTGGTATTTGTATTTTAAAGTGGAATACGTTTGAATCTAGATACTTTTATACAAAAATATTTTCTTTACCCAATGGTGGAGGGTATTAGCAGTTCGGCCCGGCCGAACTTAATGTTTTTACTTATTTATTGTATTGTAATTTAGTGCCTAATTTATATAAATTTATATTTTTTCCCGCATCTAAAATTCGACGTACCGTACACAAATATTCAACTTCCCCACTGTGGTAAAATTTTTTGTACGTCCGTATTACCCGAATATGCCGGGTGCTTATCTTTAAATCTACCAAATAAAAATAAAAAGTTGTAAAAAGGATCGGTTTCAATATTCTCCCGATTGCATTACCTGTTTTTACTTTTAACACAAAAAAAATAAAATTTTTCAATTGTCAATGTTGAAATTGTTCAACTATTCAAATTTCGTACGTCCGACGTATTTAGAGAACTTTCATATAAATACAACAAAACACCAGACAATTTTATGCCATAAATTGTGAAATCTTGACAGAAAATCGAAAAATATGCAATTTTTACAGTGTGCAAAGTAATATGTTACAGTATGTCACATCGTTAATTTTTATTTAAAATCACGTACCCGCAAATAAACACTGTTCTAAACGTTTATGATGGAATTGTTGCGGCGTATCCATATCAGCAGCCGGATCGCCTGCCATGTACAAGTTCCCATTGTGCCGGCTTACCAGTACATGGGAATTATATTTTCCATAGCAAAATTCCATCAATAATGTTAAAACACGGCGACTGGTGTACACTGTAGTTGCAGTAGTAGGCCTCTGATAAGTGGTCGAATCTTTCATGGCAAAATTTAAAGGCATATGAAGTCTAGTAGCTATACGCGAGTTAATAACAGGACACGCTTTCTCAAGGCCCACATTCAAATCTATTGGATAAAGAGATGGTTGCGGCTCTTTGAAGTACTTGATATGTTTGGACGGTTCAAAACTTTCGTAGATGTACGAATACAATCCCTCAATTTTTGGTGTTTCAAAAATAGTTTTGGATTTTTTAAACTCCAATAGATTATGCCCGTTAACTTGCATTAAGACATTTGGTTTTTCCAAATTTTCCATGACGCTGTAGTGCAATTTTTTCATTTTTGTTTTTAGTTCACTTTACCCGCACAGTTTAAGAGCAACGCACAGTCTATTTTTCAAAATGTTATGTCGCAGTATTTAAGCGGTTGGTATATATATATATACAAAACAGTCACTTTTTATCGGGGAATCACTCAATTGTAAAGAAATACATGACGCTAGGCAATAAACGTTTTACTCATTCTCTGATATGGAATTGATAATAATACATAATAGAACAGTGTGGCTTGTTTGTTCGGGATACCGTAGTATTTTGTTGTTGCAAAATGGTCAGGCTTTATCCCTTTATTGTTGTTTTTATAAAAACAACGTTTGTTTATTAGTGGAGAACGATGGTAATGTTTACCAGGGGGAAAGACAGGGAATACCTAGGTTTCGGAAAGAGCCACCAATCCTCATCAGTTCCCTTGTTTTTTGTCTGGGATATTCTCCCCAGAAGTTATTTTAAAAATAACTTCTATGACAAAAAAACATTTTTTTACCCAAGTGACGAGATCGTAAGCTCAATAGAAGAGGAACCAAAGAATTAAATAGAACTAAAATTCTTTTGGAAAGTCTTCTAAATCTTACAACCGCACTTATAAACATTTACATCTTTCTCCACTTGTTATGCTTTCGTAATAATATATTTCATAATAATATATGGTCAGGGCATTTTTCTTTTTCCAAAGAAAATAAATACAAAGAGAAACAAGTAAGAAAGCGGCTAAGTTCGGGTCAATACTTCTTAATTAATACCCTCCACCATTTTCAAGGATCTTGAACATTTTCCAAGAAATTCCTTCGAAAAATACCGCTCAAAGTAAAAAGATACCATGGACCTATATAGACAATTCTCTTCCAGAAGGTTAAGTGCTCAGAAGTAACTCCTTGTGTGGATTTTCTGACAATCCCATTGAAAAGTGTTGCTAAAATCATCAAAATATCGAATATCTGGAGGTACCGTTATATGGAAGCAATACGAAGATGTGAACCGGCATACGCAATTTTTGTCATAGGCTGTAGTACTCGTAAATATGAAATAATAAATACGTAATATGAAACAATTCCGGTAAAAAATGTAGCTAAAATCATCCAAATTGTGAATATCGGGAGTTACAATTCTCTTCTAGAGCGTAAAGTATTCGAAGTAACTCCTTGTGTGGATTTCTAGACAATTACATTGAAACCTTTGTCAACAATCATCAAAATACCGAATATCGAGATATACCGTTCTCTGGGGGATATACGATATCGTGGACCGATGTAGGCCATCTTCGACCTTCTGACTCTAGCGTGATTACAACAGACGGTTTCACAGAGCTAAATCATCTTAGAATCTTACGCTGATAAAGAATTCGATGAGTTACAAATGTTTTCGTTCCTTTAGTAAATTTTTTCGATCCTTTTGGAACTTGCTTCCCTGTTTATGTAGGTAAGACCTACATAAGGTCAGATAAGGTAGTCTTTTACAAATGTTCGTCCCCAAAATTGACTTTGCGGGAAAGTTAAAAAAATTGAAACAGCACCTTCTTGAAAACGTTTGGAGGATCTGCTATTTATTTTACAATGTCGTCATCTATATATATAAATGTAAGTTGTGTTAGTTACTACGCTTATAACTTAAGAACCGCTGGATTAATTTTAACGATTCACACAAATTCGGAGTTGTCTACTCTCCGAAAAGGATAATATCCAAAAAAATCGCGTACAAATGTGATATATTAACATTTTCATTTTGACTTTTCAAATGTACAATAGTAATGTTTTATTTTGCATGATTTTTTCCCATTTTGACTTACTTTTTTCTAATGTACATTTGTAGTGTTTTTTTATATTTTATTTTTGAATTCGAATATTTATACCAATTTATTTAATTGACTTGATTTCTTGAGAACTGAAATTGATGGCGGGTTACATGGAAGTGTAGTAGCGAATTATGTGGTGGCGAAACGGAATAGATGATATCGAAATAATTTAACGCGGTCACACCAAAGTTAAAAGATAATTACTTTTTCTAAATCGCTGAAAAATCATGAAAAAGAGATCCCATTGCAAAAATCAAAAAAACATTTTCAATGGAATCGAATTTTAAAGTAATAGTACATTCTATTGACAAACTTTGTAAGGAAGGATCTTAAAACATTTGCTGTAAAAAATCAGCGAAAAAGTTGAAGACTTTTTCAATTTGTTATTCTTTTTTTGTCAATTTTTTTTTCAATTTGTATTATCATATTGAATTCAGTGGATTTTTGTGAACAAAATAAAGAATAATTTTTCACTAAAAAAATTAAATAAGTGCGAAATAGGATGTTAACTGACATCTACCTTTCAACTCCAGGGCCTACATCGTGGGTTAGCTGGAAGATGCGAACACATTTAAACAAACAAAAATGACCGAAAAAGCTTAATGGGGCTCATTTCAAAGCGTGACAATGATCCGTCCAATGAGAGCTCAAAATGCAAAATTCTTTGGGAGAATAATAAGTAATATACCAATATTGAAATAAAAGGTGCAAAATAGTAGAGCGAATGGGACTTTTAGTAAGAAAAGGTTTTATATCCTTCCAGAAATTCTTCCTAAACATTCAAAATACCTAAAATCACTTTTGCAGGTCTTTATATCGATCATAACTCATGGATAAGGGAACAACCCGATTTCATATTTATATAACCATCTATGATTTAAGTTATTTTTGGGGTCTTGGCCGGCCACTTTTTTCATTTTTTGGCCCTTATTTGACATTTTTGTTTCTAAGGGGGTAGATAACCTCTTCGCATAAAATTTGAAATTTTCAGAGTAGGGCCCATATTGGTATTGACCACATTCATCAATTGATTTGGCTAAAAAAATTTATTTATGCCACCCTGGGGTAGGGAACCATCATACAGATAATTTCCACATAGGAATTTATTTAAGTAAAGTCCCCACATTGGAGTATCCCCAAGTCCACTTTCACATCTAATGTGTGGTCAGAAAAGAAAATTTTGTATTCTATTGAATTTTTAACCCCCAAGAGAATATTGGTTGGGAACGTAGATTTGGGATGTGCATCCATATGAAATAAATTGTGGAAACATGAACAAATTACAACTATAAGAAAGTAGCACGGGACCGAATATTTGTTGAATCGTCATTGAATTATACTATGATGAAAAATATGGACTTTATGGGGTCTCCAACTTACAATTTAAATGGCAAATAAAATTAATTCCCATCTTATCATTCTGCCCTCAATTATGAGGTGGATAAAACTATTTTTACTTATTTAAATCACGCGAAATGCTATGACATGCTATATTGTTCTGCTATATTTTTGATTTGACCTCTATTTGTCATCTTGGATTATAAGGGGTAGAAGAAAGTTTTCAATGTAGGTCGATGTTTCGGAGTAGTGCCTATATAAAGAAGGTACCTCCTAATTTAACCACATTTCAAAGAATTTGGCTAATAATGCGTATTAGGGGGGTGAAAATCTTACACTAAAATTTCAACATATCTACAAATTTTAGAATTTTTATCCATGTTATAATACCCTCTCAAGTCCACCTTTTGGCGGACAAACAGACTGACATGGTTAGGGGGACTTATGAGGACTCTAATGCACAATCTAAGTTGCTAATGGGTTTAAAAAAGTAATTAACTTTGGCTATTCTTAAATCATTCAGCCCTCAATTATGTAGTATACAAAATACAGCAAATTCCAAATTACTGCTCATTTGACTGGAAGATTTTGCTACGATTTTTACCATATTAAAAATTAATTTGATCCCTTATATGGCGATAAGATTGATATATACTTTTTAATAGATTTGTATAGCACATCCACACAGTTGAAGCCCACGGTTTAAATATTGAAGCCCACTGGTTAAAAATGGGTACAGGTATTTTAAAACACTTTAAATCGACATGTACGTGAACACTTATATCAGTCATATCTGTGAATAATTATGCTTGGGAAAATATGCATAATAGACAAAAACTACGGGCCGGCAACGCGGACCGGGCCAGCTAGTAATAGATAACAATAAATAATGGATATTTTGAATTTTCAAATAATAGGTGTGTCTGGTTACCCTAAAATTTGTAACAATTGTTACAAACTGTTACTGGAAGTCGTCAGTTAACCCGCAAGTTCTGCAAAAGAGAACGGCCGGAGAGAGAAATTTTGACAGTTCTTTCAGTGAGTGTTTACAAATTCTTGCTGGACAAATTTCTTCCTGCAATCACTTGCCACTCTTCTTCTTCTCATTCATCGATATTCAATCAGATGCATGGTAGAAAAATACAGGTAGATGCATCAACGCTTGGGAGCATGATATGTCAAAATTTTTTAAATTTCTTTTCAAATATAAGTAGATTTTTATATGTTTTCTTATACGACACAAATCGTGGGTTGTAAAGATATGAACAATTTTTACAAATTTAAATAATTTTTCATTCAACATTTTTAATTCCAAAATGGGTTTGACAGTTCATTGTCCCAGCAGCTGCGTCGATGCGTCTACCTATATTCTTCTACCATGATCAGATGTTTTCTATTGTTTGTTTATTTCTTTTTGTTCTTTAAATTTGAAAATATTTTTTTTGGAATTAGCAAAACTAATTGTTTTTGGAGAACAACTTCACAAAATGTGAAAACCGTTAATATTAACATGTAATAAGAAAATAAAAGACTGTTTCCAACATTTTTAAACAAACGCCAACAACACGTTTAAAGAATTCCGGGGGACACATAAAATCTATCTTTCTTTTATTGCTCATATTTTTATTTTATTGCTAAATTCCTTTTCATTTAAAAAACTTGTAAAATTAGTGTTGATTAATTTGTTTAAATTCTTTAATGGGGGACAAATGGGTTTGTTTTGAAAGTCCGGGTTCCAGATCCGGATCCACTTACCCGATATAGACAACATAGTTACAGTAAAATTATTGATTTTTTGCACACGGATTTTTTTTTATAAAAACCCCAAAAAGTCGAAAAAGGTCCCATAATGGAGGTCAACCAAATTGATGCCAAATTATTGCTGACACTCTTACCTTTTCAAAATGATACAATTTACGCTAATACCTTTTCTGGGTGCAGAAATATTCTCTTCTGGGTACGTCCAACCGACTACGCGAACTAAAGTTTTTTTTTTCGGTCAAGGTTTTTTCTCTGGGTATGTCCCAGGGTTTCTAAATTTGATTCTTTTTGTAAATAGAAGGCCTTTGGCCGAGGCTTGAGATTTTCTCCTCTGGGTATCTCCCACACCGGCTAACGCGAACCAAAGTTTTCTAAATTAGATACTTTTGTAATTCTAACGCCCGCTACGCGAAGTAAACCGTTTTTATTCAAAATATAATTTTAATGAACTGTTTAGAATCGGGTTATACGGGTGAAAAGATCCATATCTCTGGACCCAGAAAAGGTATTAGCACAAGTTGTAGCATTTTGAAAAGGTAAGAGTGTCAGCTAGGTATTTCAATAAGCTTTCAAACGATACCTATATTGTCTACATCAGGTAAGTGGATAAGCCCGGACTTTCGGGTCAAAAATCTGGGGTCCCGGGTCCATCCCCAAGAAAAAATAGAGTAAAGTCAAAAATTTAGTTAATTATAGAGAGTTTTCACTAAACTAGAGTTAAGTCAAAAATTGAGTTAATTATAGAGCATGTCATCTTAACTCAAATAAACTGTACGAATAGTGAAGTTGTACAAAGAGGTTCTACACAAAGTTGTATCGTTTGTGGCTGAAGCACACAACAGAGCTATGGCATAACTTGGAGGTACCAACGGTTGTATGGTGGGTGGCTTGCATAATAATAAAAAAAACATTACCAGTATAAAATATTCTCATTTATTTTTTTATTTTATTTTGATTTAAATTTTAATGCAAAAGATACAAAACATTAAAAATTAGGTGCCATCAAAAAAATAATAAAACATAAGATTTCATACAAAAAGAAAACTTAAAATAACAATTCAATTAGGTTCTTTTAGTAAGCGCATAGCACCATAATGTACTTTGAAATTTCATTGTCATAATGAAAATCTATCAAGAATACATTGCGACCAAAGAACTGTTCGTCTCTTCAAGTGCAGTTTTAAAGTCTTGATTATCTGCTTTATTATTATTTCTATTAATTTATTATCAATTCCGCGAAATATAATATTAGTATATTTGTCACTCTATAAAAAGGCATTAGTTGATTTCAAAGTTTCTTTTGAAAAGATTAGATAAAATATGCATATATGTATACTAAGTGACATCAAAATTCATTCAAAACAATGAGTAGTAATGCACTGCATGCAATCTTTTGGTATGTACTTACTTTACTTACTAACAAAATCGGCATAATATTTTGGTATAAAGGTCTTATCGGTTCTGCCTCTGTAAATGTTGTAGGTGATTTCTTTATTTCGGGCATTAGATTCAAATTCATACACTGTCTCCAAAGAGTTGACATCATGCATAAGATTGTCAACATTTTCCAAGAATTTATGTAAAAATCCGAAACAAATTTCTGGTCTCCAGGAGTAATTCTAAAAAATATAATAACAAATAGATAACAATAGTTAATTGTATAAGTAATATTCAAATTTAATTTTATGAAGAAACCAAACTGAGTCGATGTTTATGTATATACCTTCCTCCACCATGAAAAAACTTTATTTATAGGGAGTATGAAAATGCATTAATTTCGTCGCTATATTATAGCACGTAATATGTTGGGGGTAAGCATGCATTTATTAACACTAATCAACATGAACGACATAGAAATAGGAAACTGTTAAGGGCATGAAAAAGCCTATTCTCGTACACCAAAACAATATAATTTAAAATCAATATTAGAGGTACCAACCACAAACTATATACAATACCCTGAAAGGCAAACTCGGAAGAAACGTTGAAAGCTAAACACAAACTATTTTGTGATGCTTTGAAGCTATTAATCTCAAGCAGAGGCAAAGCTTTCTTAGCTTGAAGTCAATCTAAGCCGTATCAATTCTATGACAATTCTCATTTACCTTCACGTTGCTTCAATTGCAACTTTGCGGACTACAAACAGGATAAATACGATACGACTTAAAGTCGCCAAATGAGGAGAGCGTTTTAACTTAAATTTGAAAAATAAAAAACGAACCCCACTTTATCTATATACATAAAAGAAAGTTATGTTAGTTACTACGCTTATAACTTAAGAACCGCTGGACTGATTTTAACGATTTATACAAATTCGGAATTTTCTCCTGTCCGAAAAGGATAATATCCAAAAAAATCGCGTAAAAATGTGATATACTAACATTTTTATTTTGACTTTTGAAATGTATAATAGTAATGTTATTTGCATGATTTTTTCAATTTCGACTTACCTTTTTCTATGTACATTTGTAGTGTTTTTTATATTTTATTTTTGAATACGAATATTAATACCAATTTATTTAATTAACTTGATTTCTTGAGAACTGAAATTGATGGCGGGTTACATGGAAGTGTAGTACCGGTCACACCAAACTTAAAAGATAATTCTTTTTCAAAATCGCTAAAAAATTACAAATAAGAGATCTCATTGCAAAAACTGTCAAATCGGGAAAAAATCGAAAATAAAATTTCAATGGAATCGAATTTTAAAATAATAGTACATTCTACTGCCAAACTTTGTAAGAATCTTTAAACAATTGGTGTAAAAAATTAGCGAACAAGTTGAAGATTTTTTCAATTTGTTATTTTTCTTTTGTCATTTTTTTTTTTTCAATTTGTATTATCATATTGAATTCAGTGGATTTTTTGTGAACAAAATTAAGAATAATTTTTTACTATACACAATTTTTCACCAAAAAAATGATATTAGTGCGAAAGACGATGTTAACTGACATCTACCTTTCAACTCCAGGGCCTACATCGTGGTTCACATGGAAGATACGACACATTTAAAATAAACCAAAATGACCGAAAAAGCCTAATGGGGCTCATTTCTCTCATTTCCGTCCAATGAGAGCTCAAAACACAAAATTCTTTGGGAGTACAATCAATAAAATATCAATTATAAAGGGTGCAAAATAGTAAAGCGAATGGGACTTTTAGTAAGAAAAGGATTTCTATCCTTCCAGAAATTCTTCCCAAACATTCAAGATACCTTAAATCGCTTTTGCAGGTCATGATATCGATCATAACTCACGGATAAGGGTACAACCCGATTTCATATTTACATAACCATCGTATGATTTAAGCTATTTTTTGGGTCTTGGCCACTTTTTTTTTCATTTTTCGGTCCTTATTTGGCATCTTTGTTTCTAAGGGGGTAGAGAACCTCTTCGCATAAAATTTGAAATTTTCAGAATAGGGCCCATATTGGTCTTGACCACATTCATCAATTGATTTGACTAAAAAATTGTATTTATGCTACCCTGGGGTAGGGAACCATCATACAGATAATTGCCACATAAGAATTTATTTAAGTAAAGTCCCCATATTGGAGTATCCCCAAGTCCATGTTCACATCTAATGTGTGGTCAGAAAAGAAAATTTTGTATTCTATTGAATTTGTAACCCCCAAGAGAATATTGGTTGGGAACGTAGAATTGGGATGTACATCTATGTGAAATAAATTGTGGAAACATGAACAAATTAAACTATAAGAAAGTAGCACGGGACCGAATATTTGTTGAATCGTCATTGAATTATACTATGATGAAAAATATGGACTTTATGGGGTCTCCAACTTACAATTTAAATGGCAAATAAAATTAATTCCCATCTTACGGTAATGGGTGTATAATAGGAATTATATTTGACTATTCTGAAATCATTCTGCCCTCAATTATGAAGTGGATAAAACTATTTTTACTTATTTAAATCACGCGAAATTTTTTTAGTTTGACATGCTATGTTGTTCTGCTATATTTTTGATTTGGCCTCTATTTATCATCTTGGATTATAAGTGTTGTAACTATTTATATAGAGATGGCAACCATATCATTATTACACTTTCGTATGTCATTGTTATTATTCTTTCATGTCATCTGCATATCATACATACACTCATACATTGTAATTCATCATTCTCTTTTTATCATCTTCCTGTGTACAGATTGACACCATTTTGTATTAGTATGTCTTAAGCTTTTATTAAATAAAGTAATTCTTAAAATAAGCAAGCGTGCCGCATTTTTAACTCAACCATCGTTCCCACGAATACAACAATTTGGCGACGAGAGTAAAACAAGATTGATTAAATTAAAATTAGCCAAGTGCAAGGTTAAAATTTCAACAAAGTATAAGACGATGGATTCCACACAATTCCAAGCCTTTTTGAAAACGCAGGAAGCGTTGGTTGCGCAACTGGCGAGATTAACAACAGGTGGTAGTGCGCCACAGGGAAATCAGGGCAGTAGCAGCAACAACAGCATCAACACAGCGTTAGTACCCAATTTTGATATGTTTGACACAACGAAGGAAACATACCAAAATTACATCGAAAGGTTTTCGAATTACATAACCATGAAAGGTGTGCATGAAAATAAGGCGTACTGTGCAATGTTACTCCTTAATTCAATCGGGTCGAAATATTTTAACATGGTTACTGCGTTGGCGGCACCAAAGCATACATCACAGCTGAAGTACGACGAGCTGCTAAAGATTTTGGGAGATCATTTGGCCCCCAAAAGAAGTGTATTGGTTGCTCAACACAAATTCTTATCGATTTACCAGAGAGAAGGACAGTCTGTAGCCGAATTTGTGGCATCTCTTCGTGCAGAGATTGATGCATGCGAATTTGTCTCCCCGTGCGAATGTGGAATTTCCATTGCTAATGTTTTTCTAAGGGCACAGTTTATCCGAGGTATACACGACAACGGTATTCGGGAACAACTTCTCCAAACAAGTTCTGCGGAATTCGAAGAAATTGTTTTAAAAGCATTGGCATTGGAGGCAGCTAAGGTGGATGCTAGGGAATTGTCACAAGTCAACAGTTCTGTTGACATAAACAAAATTTTCAGCAAAAACAAGCCCCACAAAGCGAAATTCAAAAGGCCTGAAACTGTACGATCAGGTAAAATCAATTATGCGCAATTAGGAATTGCCGGGTTATGTTTACATTGTGGTAAAAATAATCATTATGCGAGAGAATGTCGATCTAGTAAAAATCTTAAATGTAACTTATGCAGTAAACGTGGTCATGTGGCTAAAGTATGCATAGCTACTCTTTTGGCAAATGGTCCTAATGCCGGACAAAATAAAAAGTTTTCGAACACCACAAATCAAGTTCAAAGTGTAGATCCCGGGTACGGAATTTTTAAAATTGTGGATGTGTACCAGAATGAATATACAGATGCACAACGATACTATGCTGATATTTCTATAGAAGGCAAGGTGGTAAGATTCGAAGTCGATTCAGGATCTGGATATTCATTTTTACCCAGAAGCCAATTCGCAAAATTAAATATGGATGACAAAATAACTCCAACAAAAATAGTTTTCCGATCCTATACGCAGAATAAATTCATTCCGGATGGAAAAGTTCGGGTCAATATTAAATTCAAAAACAGTACAATAAATGATGATATTTATATCGTTCCAGATGAGTGTTCTGCTTTAATTGGACGGACGTGGATACGCCGTCTAGGCATCAATTTGAATGAACTAGATGAGTGTGATTCAAATCCTGAAATGATTAATGTCGTGGGAAGCACAAACGATGTGCAAGAATTTGTGACCGAATTTGCTAGTGTTTTTCAACAAAACATTGGGTGCATTCCCAATTATAAAGTCACTCTAAAATTACGGGATAATGCTACTCCAGTGTACACAAAAGAGCGTCAAATTCCATATGCATTGACAGAGCGTGTCAATAAAGAGCTTGACGAACTGGAGAAAGCTTCTATAATTACAAAAATTTCAAACAGCGATTGGGGATCGCCATTAGTCGTAATTCCTAAGGCGGATGGTGGGGTACGTTTATGCGTCGACTACAAGGTGGGCGTAAATCAACGCCTAGTAGATGCACATTATCCAATTCGGAAAATCGATGAAATTTTCAACAGTCTAAGAGACTCTAAATTCTTTTGTCGTCTAGATTTATACAAGGCATATCTACATGTACCCGTCGATGATATGTCCAGCGAGATACAAACTATATCAACTCATAGAGGCACATATAAAATGAATCGCCTTTCCTTCGGGATTAAAACCGCACCCGCGGAGTTCAATAGAATAATAGATCAAATATTAAGGGAACCTCCTAAAACAGAATCGTACTTTGACGATATCGTTGTTCATGGTGCTACATTGGAAGAGTGCAAGTCCAATTTGAGAGCATGCTTGACACAATTGAGTAAATACGATCTGCATTTAAACATGGCAAAATGTAAATTCTTCGAAGAACAAATCGAGTTTTTGGGACACACCATACGTCACAATAAGGTGCAAAAGTCCTTATCAAAAGTACAGGCTATTTTGGAAATGCCTAAACCTGAGTGCGTAGAAGACGTTCGCCGGTTCCTCGGAATGGTGACGTATTACTCAAGATTCATACCAAACTCAGCTACGATTACAACTCCATTACGACACCTATTGCGGAAGAATGCTGTCTTTAAATGGTCATCCAAATGCAATAAATCTTTTGAAACATTAAAAGCAGAAATCGCTAGTGATCGTGTACTAACACTTTTCAACCCCGATTTACCATTGCAGCTTGCATGTGACGCTAGTCCCACAGGGATAGCAGGAGTGTTGTCGCACATCATAAACGATGAAGAAAGACCCATAGCGTTCGCTTCGAGGTCGCTAACGTCGGCGGAGAAAAATTACTCTCAATTAGATAGAGAAGCGTTAGCTATTGTTTACGCTGTACAACACTTCCATGAATACGTCTACGGCAGACTATTCAAATTGATCACGGATAACCAGCCATTGTCAAGAATATTCCACCAACATTCGAAATTGCCTCAAATGACATCTTCGCGACTTCAGCGGTACGCAACATTTTTAACAGGTTATAACTATGAAGTCGTCACTAAGAGGAGCGAGGAAAACGTGAATGCGGATTGCCTATCTAGGGCACCATTGGAAATAGGTACTCAAACTTTAAATTTTCTTGATAATGAAGTGCATTCTATATGCGTATCAACTATTCAACAAATCAATTCTATAAAATTAAACTTCAACGCTCTTCGTGAAGCAACAAAAAGAGATGAAAAACTCTCGAAAATCATCAACACATTGCAAAAATCGGATATTGTTGACTCCGAATTCACAATTGATTGCAACATTTTATTTAGAGGAGCGAGGGTAGTCGTTCCAGCCACACTTCAACAATCTGTTTTGGAAGAACTCCATTACACACATATCGGCATCACAAAGATGAAACAATTGGCAAGACGATATGTGTATTGGACATCAATCGATAGAGATATCGAAAACTTTGTACGGAAATGTTCTGCTTGTGCAGAAGTGAAGAAGAGCCCTCCAAAAGTGGTCCTACACCCCTGGGAAGAACCTGAAACCAATTGGCAGCGTATTCACATTGATTACGCAGGACCGTATCAAGGGTATTTCTTTTGGTAGTAGTAGATGCCAAATCAAAATGGGCTGAGGTCGGAGTATCTTCTTCTGCACCAACTTCATCATCAACAATTCAAATATTGGAAAATATGTTTTCAAGGAATGGTTTTCCAGATGTAGTCGTTTCTGACAACGCTACAATTTTCAAAAGTGAAGAATTCACAAAATTTTGTAGGCATCGCGGAATTTTCCAAAAATTTATTGCGCCAGGCCATCCTGCGACAAATGGCCTAGCCGAGAGAAACATCCAGACATTAAAACAACGTTTAACATCGATGTCAAATGACCCCGCGACAATGTCGACGAAAATTCGAGAAATTTTATTTAGATATCGGGCCACGCCTCTCCGAAATGGAAAAACCCCTTCAGAAATGTATTTAGGAAGGCAAATAAAGATTCAATTAGATGCACTAAAACCACTGAAATTAACATCAACCAAATCTACAATAACATCGGCAAGAAAATTAGGTGAGGGAGACCGAGTGCAAGCGCGATACTACACAGCCAACAAATCGATTTGGAAATTCGGTGTGGTAGCTAAGAAGCTAGGTAATCTTCATTATATAATCAAGCTTGACAATGGATTTGTCTTCAAACGCCACATAAACCAGCTCCGTTTATCTAATACGCCAATTCCAAAGACTGCGGAAAATTCACCTTCCGATTCGCCTTCAAACAACACTCAACAAATGGGTATACCATTTTTCCAGCAACCAGTAATAAGCTCATACGTACCACCAGATGGAAGCGAAGTTCCTCCAGATTTGGAATGCACAGATCCTACAACATCATCTTCAGCATCGCCCTCAAGAAACGGACAACATACCGAAGAGCTGTCAAACTCCAATGAAGAGTCTGAAGTTGCAGACACCCCAAGTCGTCGAACATCTGCAAGGCAACGTAGACCCCCCCAGTATTTTGGCGATTATATTCGACATTAAAATATGTTCCGTTTAAGTGAGGGAGAACTGTTGTAACTATTTATATAGAGATGGCAACCATATCATTGTTACACTTTCGTATGTCATTGTTATTATTCTTTCATGTCATCTGCATATCATACATACACTCATACATTGTAATTCATCATTCTCTTTTTATCATCTTCCTGTGTACAGATTGACACCATTTTGTATTAGTATGTCTTAAGCTTTTATTAAATAAAGTAATTCTTAAAATAAGCAAGCGTGCCGCATTTTTAACTCAACCATCGTTCCCACGAATACAACAATAAGGAAGAAGAAAGTTTTCAATGTAGGTCGATGTTTCGGAGTATTGCCCATATAAAGTTACCTCCTAATTTTACCACATTTCAATGGATTTGACCAAGTGAATATATGCCGCCTGTAATAGAAGCATGTTGACATCAACGTAAAAATATACACACACAATTGTAGTGCAGCAAGAGGAATAAAATGTTCAGAAAACTACAAAAAATTGGACTCGATATTTGTTACTCCAAAATTAAACGCTCGCTACCTGTTTCTAATCGGCTCTAATAATAACATAAACATAAGTGTTGAAACTTTTTTCACTTGTTAAGGCGAACTGGTCCTTACATATAATTGTTGGACAATACAGTAGTTTTCCGATTTAACGAACTTTTAAAAAAATTGCATTAAAAGTATTACGAACACTGTTAAAAACATTTGTACTCGATACAATGAACAAAAGCCAAAATTATGGTAGTTTACTAAATGGGAGAGTAAACGAGGCGATGTTGATGTCTACTCCGCGACTTAATGAGTGAGAAAGAATAAGTGTGAATTGAGCGAGGACGTTGTTCTTCTATATTAAAACCCTGTTATATGGAAGACGGGCATTCCATGACGTTGTTGTATTTTGTTCGATGCTGAGACTGATATTAATGATGATGACAGCATTCCTACGAAGAACAACAGAGAATTAAGTATGACAACGCTGTGAAATAGTTTGAAATGTGTGTATAATATGTGGAACAACATAATATAGATGCCACCAAATCTCTAATATAGAGAGAACTACAAGAAGAAGCGATACATAAAAACTACAAGTTCTTTAAATACAAAGAAAAATTAATATGTTTTTCGATTAAAGTCATTAAAAATAGAACAGTTTTATTAGATCCCAAAAAATGTAAAATTTAAAAATAATTTTTTGTAATTATGTTATTCCTTAGAAGTACAATTTCAAGCAAGATCTCAATGAAAATGTCTACCAATTCCATTTCTGTCATTGATTACATGGTTTTAAATGAAAACAAGTATGCAAAGGCTATAGCAAAAATTGTACAAAATGTAATGTGTTTGTAAAAGTTGTAAAGTCAGTATTACCGCATTTATCGTATATGCAACAGGAAGTTTTGTTAAGGAGTTTTTATAGTAAATAAACAAAAAACCCCAAAACAGTCAAGATTCATTTTCTAATTCTTGATCCTCAATTCTTGTTCTATAAAAATGTGCAATGAAAACTTTTATAAAGAAATGCAAAATGACAAATTTTATAAAGGAGATATTTTTTCATTTCAAATTTTTATAGAACAAGAATGCAGCCCCTGTTGTATGTATCTTAAAAACAGCATTACCTAGAATTCGACGCACTCGGTCTTCCTTTTTTACTAACCAAACCTAGGCACTTGCATGCAGGTTAGTTTTACCTAAATGCAACGCAGGTTTAAACCTTACAAGATTTCTAGGAATTGCTAGTTAAAATCAATATCACATTCAAATAGAATTCAAAATACACATATACATAAGATATACAGAAAAACGTGCAAAATACTTTTTACCTACGTAATGCAGTGCCAATGCATTGTTCGTGGCACTATACTCTTACTTTCCAAATCTATGGACTAACAATTTTTGGAACATCCAAATCACCATTATAATAAAAATATGAAGCATTGCTTCAAATAACAGTATTAATTTGTAAATGTTAATAGCAACATATTTTACCTTTGGTATTTCCGACACTTTACAGTGTTCAATGGGCTTCTCTACAATGCCATTTTCATTTTTATATGCCACATAGATGTCCTCGACATTGCTTAGACGGGATTGAATCCAATATCGCAGAAATTTATATTCTTTATTTGACCATTCCCACATTTGTTTTGTTAAAACAAAACGACATTGGTTCAAAACATCCATATTGTTCCTAAAATGTTATGGCATGAAAAACTGCTTAGATCTGAAAATAATTTACAAGCGTCATACAAACTGTCCAGTTTTTCATTGGATATTATGCCCTGTATATCACCAGCATATAAAAGAGAAAATCGCTCCAAATTGGTACAATGTAAACAGCTTAACGAAACATTCGTATCAATCGGCTCATTCCTTTTGGGTTCTTCGTTGGGAGATTCTAAAAAACATATGTACATATTAATAGAGCTGAATATAATATATAAATTAAATTATTGTATGATTAAATACACTTATAAAGCGTTAATTGTCGATCATATATTTTTATACCCTCCACCATACTATTTTGGTATTTGAAGTTCGAAATAGATACTACAGCCTAAGACAGAAATATAAGGGTACCTCCCTACATACGGTATTTTGATGATTTTAGCTACATTATTCACCGTTTATTTCAAGTTTCGAATTTGAATATTGTAACGGCTTATAACAAACAATGCCTATGTAGGTCCACGTCGTATAGGCCTCAATATAACGGCTGTATTCTGTATTTTTAAGATTTTAGCAGAATTTTTAACGGATTTTATTTTTTTAAAAATTTACAATTTTTTTCCAAATGGTTCGGCCCGGCCGAACTTACTGCTTTTTAACTTGTTCAGCTAAACTTTGGTTTAAAACTCTTCAATTTATTTTCTGAACTTGTGCTCAGGGGTAGAAACATTCATCTTGATTAAGGAATATTTTTTCATGCAAGACGGACCCGAGCAACTCTCCATATCTGACCAAAAAGTCCGGACGTAAAAGTCAGTCCCACCCAACCGATAAGTGTTATAGTACCATTTTGAAAGGTTTATAACATCAGCTTTAATTTGCACATTATTTGGGAATTTTACAAAAAAATTGACTTTAATACACGACTTCTTGTCTATTAACCCTTGAGTCGGATTAAACCCCCTTTCTATACCCTCCACCATTCTATGGAGGGTATATTAAATTTGTCATTCCGTTTGTAACTCCTTGAAATATTCATAATGGACCCTACAAAGTATACATATTCTGGATCAGCGTAAAATTCTAGAATTCTAGCGATGTCCCTCTGTTGTAATACCGCTATCTTTTTGAACGTATTGAGATAGAAAGCTTAAGTTTTGATACATGCAGTTTGCCAGCAGGCAGATTAAGTTCGTAAATGGGCCATGTCGGTTCACGTTTTCGTTTAGCCCCCATATAACGGTACCTCCCGATATTCCGCATTTTCATGATTTTAGCGACATTATTTACCGGAATTATTTAAGGTTTCTTATACGAAGTTCGTAATGGGAACTCCAGTCTATGACAAAACAAGTAAGCAAAGGCTACTGTCGAGCGGGGCCGACCGTTGAATACCCTACAACACTACAATAAACGATACAGTTTATATAGGCGAGATACTCGAAAGAATTCCACAATATATTGTGACAAATTATAAAAGAAAACCATCAGGTTTCGTTCTCTAATTTTCGCATAGTAGCAACTTAAACTAATTTGCTCATTTCCAATTTATTGGTAGATGTTCCACTTAAATGGTCTTCCCAGATCTGGAACCAATATTTCCCAAAGACGTATAATCTCTCAGAAGTGGCAAAAGATTAACACTTATTATTGGTTTTTGACTGAAATGCATCTATATGAGATACAGCCTATATTCTTCAACGAAATCAGCGTTAATGAAATAGTCAGAAGTGCGTCTTTCCTGTATTTGTGAATTCTCCAAAAGTCACTGGAATGGACATTTTTGTATTTTGTCTACACATTGAATATTTTTGGATGGCCATCCAAAACTGCTTGGCTTTTGCAATGTCCGGTAACCCCCATTCAAATGTTCGTGAGGATCTGGCGATAATTACGACCTGCTGACAATTTTGCAGTTTTTTGGTCCATTTCAACCCCTAAATATATGGCGATCATCTTCAAAAAGAGTAGCTTCTATTCTGACCCTCATCTTATCCCCATGCAAAATTTCGTAACGATCGGGCTATAAATGCGATTTGTATATTATATCCTAACTACTTAGTTTTGTTAGCTGTAGAAATATTACTTAATGTTTAATTCAAAATGAAAATATGCCAAAAATATGACAAAATTGAAAAAATATGAGAAATTTACAAAATCAATATTTTCATCTTTAGAGAGATATTGTTATGCGATTTTTTTAGACGTTTTTTCTTTCCTGCCAAGAGGCCATTCTGAATTAATGAGAACTGTCGAAATCAGTTCAGCCGTTCTCGACATATAAGAGATTTTTCAAGCATATCTTCTTTGATAAACATACATATCGCACATATTTTGCTATATATCCGTTTTGTTGGATGTTAACATCAATGTAAAGATCAGAAGTAACCTTGTCATGGCTTTGTGATTTCGCCGGGATTTAAAATATTCGCGGTTTAATGAAAAATTTTGAATTTTTTCAACAAAAAAGATATGGCCTATTTTACCCGCTAAATATTATCCGATGACCACCCAAATTCCGCGCCCTAAACTCTAGCTATATGCGAAATTCCGCGTCGATTGGTCTATAATTGCGACCTGTATAGCTACTGCAAAATCCGACATTTTTTCAGTATTTGGTCCATTTCAACCCGTAAACATTTGGCAATCATCTCCAAAAGAAATAGGGTTCTATTCTGACATTAACCCCACCTACATTTTAAATTTCGTGAAGACCGGGCCATAATTGCGACCTGCAGAGTGATTACAAATTAACATGGACAGACGGACAGACGGACGGACGGACATACATAGCTAGATCGACTTAGCTCGGCGAGCTAGGAAGATCCATATATACTTTCCTATATGGGAAACCAATATTTCGAGGTGTTACATAAATTCTGGCCCAATCAAACTTATAATACCCCCAACACATAGTGTTGCAGGGTATAAAAACTTTGCTCCCATATAACGGTACCTCCCGATATTCGGTATTTTGACAATTTTAGCGACATTATTCACCGGAATTGTTTCAAATTTCGTACTGGAAACTCCTAATGGGTACTACAACCTAAGACAGAAAATTGTCTGTTCAGGTTCATGTCTTCGTATAGCCTCCATATGACGGTACCTCCAGATACTCCGTATTTTCATGATTTTTGCGATATTATTCACCGTAGTCGTTGCAAATTTCGTATTTGAAGTTCGTAATGGGCACTACAGCCTATGACAAAGAATTTCATATACAGGTCCACGTCTTCGTATAGTCCCCATTCAACGTTTTTCATTTAAGTCTTAATTTTCGGAATTTTTTGAAATTATTCATTTTTTTCGAAATGGTCAAGGGCAATAAAAGATCGGCCCGGCCGAAATCACCTTCTTTTTTGCTTGTTAAAAGTCGAATTGGGTTTCTTTAAAAATAACCCCCGTTTTTAAGAATTCAATACCTGCAAATAATATTTTATCCAAACGCTCATGATGATTATGTTGTGGCTTATTATCAATATAGCTCAGTTCACCAACCATGTATAACATGCCGTTGAATCGCGTTACCCACAATTTAAAATCTTCTTTCGAATAACAGCACTCCAATAATTTTGATAGAACTCGACGACTGGTATATACAATTGTTTGCGTCCTTGCCTCAACCTGACTCATTTTGCCAACACCATTGGTCACAGCAAAAGTTAGGGGTGCATGAAGCCTGGAGTCATATGTACAGGGTAAAGTAAAACGAGATGTCGAATATCCTTCATTTAAATCCATTGGATAATCTTTTGGCTCTGGTTCTTTAAAGTATTTTATATATTTAGCCGGTTCAAAAATCTCATAATTGTATGAATAAATTCCAAGGAGTTTTGGCTTCTCGACTACAGTTTTGGTTTTTAACATTTCCAAAACGTTTCTACGTTGGAATTTCAATAAAATGTTCTCCTTCCTCCAATTTAACATGTTAAAGAAGTGTTGATTTTGAATATAAAATAGTAGTTTTGAGCGGAGTATTGGATTATTCAAAAATGACTTAAATAATACATCCAAGAAATTGCTATTCGGGGAATCACAAGAATAGTCAAGGGCGTCACAGATAATAGGGATACGTAAGTCAACTTCCGATTTTGGTAAAATAATACAGGTAGATGCAGTTGTCTACAAATTTAACTAATTGAAATAAATTTTCATTAAAAAATTTTAATCCCAAAATTTTTTGGCAGTTTATTGTATTAACCGGGCTTCATGTATCGTTTTATCAAGGATTGTTGAAAAGTCTAAAGGGTAAAACCATGGTATAATAACAAGATAAAGTAGAGCTACCAGCTGATTAATTTTTTTCTAAGTGTACCCGACTTCTGCCAATTTTAGTTGTGTTCCAGTACTTTTTTAGTAGTAAAACTAGCAGAAGAGAGAACAGTTCGAAATGTCATTCTCAATTAGGTGTGCTCAAAAAATAAGGGAACGGAAAATTAGCAGAAATGCGATAAAATGTCAAAATTCAAAATTCCAAGAGTAAACAGTCCAAATCGGACTGGTGAAACCTTACTGAAACGGACACCAAAATTTAAAAAAAAATAGTATTGAAGACGATACGTTAAAATTAATAATCTATAATAATAATTAATAATCTGATTCATCATTCAGCCAGTCCTCTTCACTACTGGAATCATCCAAAAGTGCTCCATATTTTCTCTTTTTGTTTTTTTTTTTGCACTACAAATATTAGTTTTTCCCTTAGTTTTTAAGTTGATCATTTCTTTATTTTTGTTATGACGCGGGAACATTGAAATGTATCAATACATTTTTCAACCTTGTTAGCCCTGCCAATTAAATGTCAAATTCACAATTTGCACATTTCTGCTCGGCCAAATTCATGTAGCTAAAACAAGCAGAAATGTGCACCACTCAGCGCCATTTTTTTCTCGAGAGAGCTGCAAGTTTTGCTAGTTTTTGCAGTATGGGAACGCGTTGTAGCAGAATTAGTACTAATTTGTAGGTTCTGGAACACAACTTTTGTGTATGTATTTATTGTTAAAAAATATATTTTTTCAAAATCAATGATTGGAAGAAAATTAAATTGCGGTGCGCACATTAATGATATTCACCAAATTTGCCATGTAATTGAAAGATTGAACACTTAGAATCATATTTTTGAGGTAATATCCAGGCATGTCATTCATCTTTCACGCTATTTGACCTATTTTAAATGTGAACAAAATATACCAAATAAAAATAAAAACAATTTTTGCATATAATTTTGAATAATTCCAAATTCGAACTAAAGGGCTAAGTACATAAGAAGCTTGAAGTCATGGCAAGGCATATTTTGTGACATTTCACAAAGGGATTACAGAGCCGCACTAAAATCCAGCCGTCGTTTTCCATTATTATTTGACATTAATATGCCTAGCCATGACTTCAAGCTTCTTATGTACTTAGCCCTTAAGTCAATCTTAAAATCCATTGTTCCTCTACGAAGAAGCCAGCCGATGAATTAAGCAAGTCCAAAAAGTGTTTATGCATGCTCACCTTAAGGAAATGCCCGCTTCCTGTTAAAAATTATTCAAATTTATATGCAACAAGTTGTTTTTATTTGTGGGTAACTAGCGCGAAAATAAATGAAATGACTATATTTTTTTAAAATAATATGCTATGAAATGTTCAATCTTTCAATGACATGACAAATCTGAATAATAGCTTTAATACGCGCCCCATGATAAAATGATACAGTTAGGGGCACCGACGCAACTGTTGGTACAATGAGCTTCAAAAAATTGAAAATTTTGTTATGAAAAAATATTCAAATTAATGAAATTTGTTGAAAATCACATATCATAAAAACCTCTGAATGGCATCGTATAAGAAAATATTTTAAAAACTATTTATAATGTCGCGAGTGTTGATGCATCTACCTGTACTCTTTTAACATGCGCACCCCGCAATGTACGTTTCTTCAGACCATTAAGTTTGTTATTGTTTGTAATTATTTTTTAAAACAATAAATACGTACACAGAATTGGTAGAAGTCGGGCACACTGAGAAAAATAGCGCGTTTAGATACAACATTTTATCTGGATTGACCCACATTATCAGGATTTATTCAACCAGGTCTACCATACAACTATATCTTCTCACTAACGGAAAGCATCACTGTGTACGCCATTGGTACTGTCGTTCTCTCCAAAGTTGCGAACGCTTCTGTAAATGCGTTTTTTTCATTTTACATTCGAACAATAAAAATAAACTTAAAAGATAGTACATTGAAAGATGCATTATATTCCTTTCAATTTGAATATACACTTATTACGCACCATCAATTGCCTCTATATTAGGTTTTTTGCCTATTTTTTGCATTCTCTTTTGGTTGTGTATGTATCATGGTAGAAGAATACAGGTAGATGCATCAAGGCCTGGCTACATTGTTGATATGTCAACATTTTTAAAATGTTTTATCAAAAACTAGCTAACCCGGTCCGCGTTGCCGGGCCGTAGTTTTTGTTTATTATGCATATTTGTCAAAGCATAATTATTCACAGATATGACTGATATAAGTGGTCACGTACTGGCCGATTAAAAGTGTTTTAAAATACTTGTACCCATATTTATGCCGTGGGCTTCAAAGAAGTGGATGTGCTACACAAATCTATTAAAAAGTATATCTCAATTGTATCCCCATGCAAGGGATCAAATTAATTTTTAGTATTGTAAAAATCGTTGCAAAATTTTGCAGTCAAATGAGCAGTAATTTGGAATTTACTGTGTTTTGTACACCTCATAATTGAGGGTTGAATGATTTAAGAATAGCCAAAGTTAATAACTTTTTTAAACCCATTAGCACCTCAGATTGTGCATTAGAGTCCCCATGTCGGTCTGTTTGTCCGCCAAAAGGCGAACTTGAGTGGGTACTATTACATGGAGAAAATTCTAAAATTTGTGGATATGTTGAAATTTTTGTGTAATATTTTCACCCCCCAAATACACATTTTTAGCCAAATCCTTTGAAATATGGTAAAATCAGGTGGTACCTTTATATGGGCAATACTCCGAAACATCGACCTACATTGAAAACTTTCTTCTTCCTTATAATCCAAGATGAGAAATAGAGGTCAAATCAAAAATATAGCAGAACAACATAGCATGTCAAACTGAAAAAATTTCGAGTGATTTAAATAAGTAAAAATAGTTTTATCCACTTCATAATTGAGGGCAGAATGATTTCAGAATAGTCAAATATAATTCCTATTGTACACCCATTACCGTAAGATTTGAATTAATTTTATTTGCCATTTAAATTGTAAGTTGGAGACCCCATAAAGTCCATATTTTTCATCATAGTATAATTCAATGCCGATTCAACAAATATTCGGTCCCGTGCTACTTTCTTATAGTTGTAATTTGTTCATGTTTCCACAATTTATTTCATATAGATGTACATCCCAAATCTACGTTCCCAACCAATATTCTCTTGGGGGTTACAAATTCAATAGAATACAAAATTTTCTTTTCTGACCACACATTAGATGTGAACATGGACTTGGGGATACTCCAATATGGGGACTTTACTTAAATAAATTCCTATGTGGCAATTATCTGTATGATGGTTCCCTACACCAGGGTAGCATAAATACAATTTTTTAGTCAAATCAATTGATGAATGTGGTCAAGACCAAGAGGTTCTCTACCCCCTTAGAAACAAAGATGCAAAATATGGACCGAAAAATGGAAAAAAAGTGGCCAAGATCCCAAAAATAGCTTAAATCATACGATGGTTATGTAAATATGATATCGCGTTGTACCCTTATCCGTGAGTTATGATCGATATCATGACCTGCAAAAGCGATTTAAGGTATCTTGAATGTTTGGGAAGAATTTCTGGATAGATAGAAATCCTTTTCTTACTAAAAGTCCCATTCGCTCCACTATTTTGCACCCTTTATATTTGGTATTTTACTGATTGTACTCCCAAAGAATTTTGTGTTTTGAGCTCTCATTGGACGGATTATTGTCACATGAAAGAAGTAGGTCCACGCTTTGAAATGAGCCCCATTAGGCTTTTTCGGTCATTTTTCTTTTTTTTTAATGTGTTCGTATCTTCCATGTGAACCACGATGTAGGCCCTGGAGTTGAAAGGTAGATGTCAGTTAACATCGTATTTCGCACTAATATCATTTTTTTGGTGAAAATTGTGTATAGTAAAAAATTGTTCTTAATTTTGTTCACAAAAAATCCACTGAATTCAATATGATAATACAAATTGAAAAAATCTTCAACTTGTTCGCTAATTTTTTACACCAATTGTTTAAAGATCCTTACAAAGTTTGTCAGTAGAATGTACTATTATTTTAAAATTCGATCCCATTGAAAATTTTTTTCGATTTTTTCCGGATTTGACAGTTTTTGCAATGAGATCTCTTCTTCGCAATTTTTTAGCGATTTTGAAAAAGTAGTTATCTTTTAAGTTTTGTGTGATCGTGTCATCTATCCCGTTTCGCCACCACATAATTCGGTACTACACTTCCATGTAACCCGCCATCAATTCCAGTTCTCAAGAAATCAAGTCAATTAAATAAATTGGTATTAATATTCGTATTCAAAAATAAAATATAAAAAACACTACAAATCTACATAGAAATAAGTAAGTCGAAATTGAAAAAATCATGCAAAAAACATTACTATTATACATGTACATATGTATCTTATAACGCGATAGGTCGGTCTGTGGTCAGCTATGCGGCTCCAGTGTGGTCTGCGAATACTAGTGCTACGCAGTGGAAGCATATCCAGACCTGCCAGAACGCTGCCCTGAGAACTGCGACAGGGTGCCTCCTCATGACACCAGTGGACCATCTACATGAGGAGGCGAAAGTTCTTCCCTTACGTCAGCATAATCATATGCTTTCGTTGCAGTACCTGCTTGGGTGTTACCGTGAGAGTCATCCCAACCATCATATGGTGGATAACTCTCCCCCACCCAGGCGTGTCAGGAAGGACATACATGATCTAGAGAGGGAGGTCCAGCGCTACAAGAGAGTGCCTCTAGATCAAGAAGCCTATCAGGCAGGTCTGAGTGGCATTCACACCGATGCAGTCGCGGATGCTATTAGCAGTTATAAAGTGAATGCGTCCTCGGAGTCCACCCCCATCCATTGCGATACAGGCCCGCACAATACGCTACACCTTTTTAATTGCTAAGCCAAACCTACCCAACTCACTCCAGAAGATCTCTGGCTATAGCCCGTTAAAGTAGCCGAATTTCTAAACCTGGAGCTGGAACCAGATTAGCAGAACGCAAACACATACATGTACTACTGCTACAACAACAACTATTATACATTTCAAAAGTCAAAATAAATATGTTAATATATCACGTTTTTACGCGATTTTTTTTTGGATATTATCCTTTTCGGACAGGAGAAAATTCCGAAATTGTATAAATCGTTAAAATCAGTCCAGCGGTTCTTAAAGCTGGGAATACATAAAGCGCTTATTTGGCTTAAGTCATCGGCAGGCTTCTTCTGAAATGAGCAAAGGAGCCTAGGGCCAAAATCGAACTAGGTCAACCTAAAACTCCTTTGTTCATTTACGAAGAAGCCAGCCGATGACTTAAGCCAGCCAAATATGCGTTTTATGTATTTCCAGCCTATGTTATAAGCGTAGTAACTTTTTCTTATATATATATATATATATATATATATAAACAACGCAAATCAGTGGTTGTTATAATGTGAATTTTTCAACAATTTTTACAAATTTCAATAATTATTCATTCAACATTTTCAATTTTGCGGTACAAATGTTTACTGGTAGCTGTTCGTTCAGCCAAAAGTCCAGTGAGCGAAATGCGAAAGACGTTTACACATTAGAGTTGCTGAGAGTTTGCAAATTTATACTGGGCAATTTCCCCAGTAGGAATAATCCATAGAAACCAGTTGTATTGTAACCAAAAAAAGTGTAACCAATTTATTTTTTGCTGAAAAAAGTAATTAAAATGACTAACAACAATGGAAAGGAAAAGATAAAAATGATTTAATAGCGCATGATGAGTCATTTCGTTTATTTGTGTCAAATTCAGCTAAAAAAATGTGCATCCGAGAACCACCATTGTCCATGCCGATATCAATTGGAGGTTCAGGAATAATAGTTATTTCTAGCAGACGGTATCTTTGTGCATGTGAACGATTGATGCACGGTACAATTAAAAGGTAAGGTAGAGCTACCAGCTGATAACAATTTGTTTCTAAGTGTGCTCGACTTCTGTCAATTTTGTGTATGTATTTATTGTTTTGAAAAATAAAAAAGGAATATTTTCAAAATCAATGATTGGAAGTCACCATGTAATTTAAAGATAGAACTGTTTAAATCATAATTTTGATAGAAAATCCATTCCATTCAATTTTTCACTGATTTTAAAAATGATGAAAAATATTGAATAAATGGAAACAACTTGTTTCATGCAAATTTGACGGGAAGCGGGCTTAGCATCAAGGCTGTATTTCTTTTACGATGCTGCTCTACATCCTTCTTGTACCATGGGTTTATGTTTTTATTGTTCTACCTCCTTCTTGTACCATGCATAAAGTTAATGTGACAATCATGTCAGAAGAATACAGATAGATGCATCAACGCTTGGGAGCATTGATATGTCAACAAAATTTAAATGTTTTTTCAAATATAAGTAGATTTTCATATACTTTCATATACTACGTTATTCGGAGGCTATTATAATTCGCGTTTTTCAACAATTTTTACAAATTTAAATAATTTTTCATTCAACATTTTCAATTCCTAAATTGGTTTGACAGTTCATTGTCCAAGCAGCTGTGTCGACGCGTCTACCTATTTTTTCTACCATGGTGACAATACATAGATCGCTTTTTTGACTGGCTGGCTTCTTGGGAAAAGAAAAAAGGAGCGCTGGCCCAAAATCGAACTATGTCAACCTAAAACGCGTTTGTTTCTCTACGAAGAAGCCAGCCGTTGACTTAAGCCAGTCAAAAAAGCGTTTTATTTATTCTCACCTTTAAACATGGTAGAATTAAGAAGGTAAAGTCATCCAATCATATGTCTACAATTTTTTCAAAATAATTCTGTTGAAAACATTTCATTGTCAAAATTTTTATTTACAACCCCATTGCAAACTCACAAATCAGATATGGGAGCCTGTTTAAACACTGTAATTTGACAAGGTAACTTAAAGAAAATGAAGAGGTCATTATACCATGCTTTTAAATCAGCTGAGGTTAGCTACTACGGGCCAAGATCCTAAGCACACGCAACTATTTTGGTAGGAGGCTATAGAAACCGCTTCGATCGAACTGGTTCTATTGCTCTTTTCAGTGAATCTTTCATTGTTAACCTTTGAATCGCAAAACATGACCATATCTATGGGCGCTAGCAACGTTGAAGCCCAAGTTGGGGGATTCACATTCTGATTATAAATAACTATACTCAGCGGAGTAGATAAGTTCTTTGTCCTAGTGAATCTTAAAAGAAAAATAAAAAAATACCAAACATGTCTCTATTGCTACAAATAAACGATTGTCAGTTGGTAAAATTGCAACAAAACCCTGAATATATGACAAGGCCCAAACTTGTGAAGATTTACGATATAAATTACACACGATTTTCACCAGCAAAAAAATTTCGCTATCTGTTTAAAGAGCCGAGTCAATATCCCCTGGATCTTAATAATGTTGTTGGTGACCCGATTGAAATAAAACACAGTACACAAAATAATTTATTGCATCCCTTGTTAAATACTTATTTTGAAGACTACATTGTTCTGCTGGAAGAAGATATTGATGATGATGACAATAGAAATGCAAACAAAGTGGAAATGACTGATGTTTATAGCAGGCGTGGTATTCTAGAAAGAATTATGGGTTTTTATTACGAGAAAAATGATTTTAGTGCGCTTGTGTCACGGTGCAATGGAAAGCTTTTTGTAGTGGAACTGCCACAGAGCGAAGATGCATTTGAAAGAAATCAGAGTGGAAATAATACACATCATAGGCGTTTTTGTCAAATTACATCCGTAGGTGAGTATGATGTAAAAATGGGGAGGTCGAGGAACATGACACACAGCAGGCCGACACACAAAAACCGATCAAACATATCTGCCGCAGCGGGTAAAATATTTTGCCAGCCTTGGATTAAATATATTTTTTGGAACATTTTAATATTATACTGTGGGAGTTTTTAGGACATGATTCCATCAAGGAAAGAAGAAAACAGGGAACCACTCTAGTTTAGTAAAAACTCTTCGATTTCTTCGAATCTTTTTTCCAGAGGTAGGTATTTTTCCCTGATTCCGGGTAACTACTCCGAGTTCAAGGCCCGAGCTAGACCTTGATCCACTTACCCGATATATTTTGAAAGATTTTGAAAATACCTATCCAACAAGTGGTCACATGCAATTCGGGATTTGTAGTCAAATTATCGATATTTGGACCGCGACCACGACCCCAAAAAGTCGAAAAAAACTTATTGCCAAATCAAAGCTGACAGTCTTACCTTTACAAAATGCTGCAATTTGTGTTAATACCTTTTCTGGGTCCAGAGACATGGGTTTTCCACCATCATAACCCGATTCTAATCAGTTCATTAAAAATTATGTTTTCAATAAAAAAAATCTCTATTTCACGTAGACAGCTTTGGACATACAAATGTATCAAATTTAGAAAACTTTGGTTCGCGGCGTGTAACCGAAATTTCACGCTAAGAAAAAAAAGAGTTTCCCGGAATTTGGGTGGTATTTGAACCTCTGGAAAATTTTTCGAAAAAAAAAAATTTTACTGAAACCAATATCAATAATGTCAATTCTTTCTAAAATGGTTGAGTATGTATTGAAGGATCAAATGTTAGAATATATAAATGAGCATTCACTATTGCACCCGAGTCAACATGTATTTAGAAGTAATCGTAGCACAACATCTCTTCTGGTTGGATTAACTGATAATATAAGAAATTCTGTCGGTGCTGGTGATTGCTGTATTTTATTATCACTTGGTTTGGAGAAGGCATTTGACAGGATTAATCATGCCAATTTAATTGGTAAGTTACATCGTCTCTTCAATTTTTCGTCCTCGGCTTGTAAGTTAATGTTTTCTTACTTGTTCGGGAGAAAACAGTATGTCTGTGGTAAAAATGTTGTTTCCAATCTGCTTCCAGTGGGTAGTGGTGTGCCACAGGGTCTGTTCTTGGCCCTCCATTGTTCGTTATGTATTTTAATGATTTGCTGAGTTGTATTAACGGTAGGAATTGTATGTCGTTTGCATTTGCTGATGGCATTCAAGTTTTGTTTAAAGGAGAATATGTGTTTATGGATGTGTTGCAGTAATCAATTGATTTTAATGTTAATATGTTGGTAACTTGGTTGTCCTGTAACGGTCTCTCAATAAATACTCAAAAATCTAAAGTTATGTTTTTTTGGGAACTTACAAGAGGATTCAATTAATGTTTCCATTTATAGGACGCAGATAAATGTTGTAAGCTCGATGAAATGTCTTGGTTTGTTTCTTGATTCTGGTTTGGTGTTTGATGTGCGTGAATTCTTTAGTGTCCAATGTTAACTTTATTTTAAAGAAGTTGTACTGTTTGTATATAGTTTTGCCTAAGAATATTAGAATTCAGTTGGTACATCCCTTAATAATGCCTCACTTTTTATATTGTATTGAGATTTTTGGGGGTAGCTGCGGTTTTGTTTTCGTAAGTTAAAACTATTGTTTCATAGTGTAATGCGATATGTTTTTGTGTCAAACGTTGTGATCATATATCTCCTTCTGTGAAGGAGTTTCTCGGTTTTCGTTTGAGTGTTTTGTGGATTTAGGGTCAATGTTGTTCTTCTACAAACATTTTAAATTGAGGACGTCTTCCATTCTTTTGGATCTTTTTAAGTTTTCGAGATCTGTAAGGAACCTGCAAATTGTTATACCACGCTTGACTCCTCTGTTGGAAAAATACTTCTATGTAAGAATTGCTCGCATTTTCAACAATCTTCCACCTAACCTTAAGACTACTTCTTCCCTAAAATGTTAGAGGCGTAAATTATATTACATTTCAATATTGTTTAAAATATATGGTTTTTTGTGTTAATTTGTTTTTTTTTTTTTTTTGTTTTCCTTGCATAGTTGATTTATCTAATGAATTGTGATTTTTGCTCATCTTTTCCTTTTTTTTTTAATTTTTTAATGTTAATTTTTTAATAAGATTTTAAAAATTAAGAATGTTATGAATAGTTTAGAGTAGTTCTTGGAACCGTCAATCAATTGCTAATTTTGTTCATTTTTTGTTATTTTTTTAGTGTTTAATTTTAAGTAAGTCTTTTAAGATTAAGGATATTATAATAAATTTAGAGTAGTCATGTATGGAAGTTTTCGGAACCGATTGTTTGGAACTAGATTGTTATTTCATTTGAGACTCGTACAGCCCCCACTCACTATCAATGTTGCTACACTTCCAATGAACCCCTATATGTGGGCTAGAACAGTTTATGGCCAAGTCTTGAACCCAATTTACACATTTTGCTGTTTGTAAAATGACAGAAAATAATGATTAAAAATTTTAAACAATCCAATCATCTATTAAGAACAATTATAGTAGAGAAATAAAGGGGTGCAGTCGTTTGATTTGGCTATCTTAAATGATAGACCCACATCTAAAATGAGAAAAAATCTAAAAATTATAGGGATGGTAAAAAATACATGATTATGGCCAGTGTTAAATTATATTAATTTTTTGTATATTACGATTGTTTTCTTTTCTTACATAAAATCATATTAAAAATTTTTATTTCTAACCGGCTCCTAACAACTCATCTTGTTTATCTTGAAAAGACACTATGCCGGAACTTTCTGATTGCAATGATGACAACATATTTCAAGTTGCAATACACGAAGCTAACTTGGGAAAATACAATCTACACTATGTTGCAAGAGCACCGGCTATAAAGGTCACTGAAGCATCAAAGTATGTATTTATGTATCAAAGTATATATAATTAATTAAAATATATTTTGTTACTCTTACCCTTAGGAATGATCTTAAAAATTTAAGAGATGTGGAATTTGTGTCCACTAAACAAATGTGGTCCTCGATACGAGATAAAAGTACAAAATTTCTAAAATATTGGCTGCAATCGTATCTGTCTAACGTAAGGGAACTGTACATTGCTTACAAAGACTCGAAGGGTATGGTTTCTAGTCCAATTGAATGTTGGAAAACATGCGACATTCCTAAGGTAATTTAATTTTGAATTCGATGACAACAACATGAAACGACAGATTACCCTTCCTTCTTTACATAGAATTACCTTTGGAAGCCGAGGGTTTGTACAACGTTTTTAAACGAATTTCTAAATAAGGTCGAGGAAATTATGGCAAACATAAATTCTTTGGATATTGTTTTTGAATTTGCATTTAATACATCAACAAGAAGTGTAACATATTTTAAAAAATCGGGCGTCGGCTTTATTCCAAAAGAATATGCTGATAGAATTTAAGAAAAAATTGTTTAAAATATGAGTTATATGTAAATAAACTACTTTCGATTTTATATTTTTTTTCGATATAACTTTGATCTGAATTTTGCAATGGGAAAAGGAACGCCAGGAAGACAGTATCAGTCACATTTAGATTGGATGACTTACATGTCTTGTTTCGGAAGGTAGTAATTATTTTAAAGCAACTATTATGAAGTGAAGACCAGAACAAATCAAGTTTCCACAACAACATTGCCTCCAATGCAATGTAAAGTATATGGTTTGTTTATATTGAACGTAAAAACCCAACACCGGGCTTCGGCTCATTTTTTTTAATTTTGCCTTTCGACACTTATCATATGTTTGACATTTTTCAGTGAGAAAAAAAGCCCAGGGAGTTTTTGTTTTGGACACGCAAGTAACTTCAAGGTTTAATTAAAAATCAACAACTGGTTTTATGGAAACAAAATATATAGTGTATGTTTATAGCTTTTAATTTAATTTACTGCTTTCTTTTTCTTTTCAATCTCCTCATCATCTTCCAGTTGATCCACCTCATCGTTTTCTTGTATTGCTGTGGTACTCTTTGTTGATTTTTTATTGCCACTACCCTTTTCATACATTTCTGGAACATACAAGAACGCATCAATTTTCAGTTGTTCGCTGCTAGGTGGACTCTTTAATAGGACTCTGGTTATAAAACGACCTTCACGCTTCGGTCTAACACTATTCACATCCTTTAATAGCGAACGTAAATTCTCCTCTAAATGTTTACTATCCATGTCGAGGGTACCTATGGTTGTTGTAATCAAACCAAAATCTTGCTGATGTTCATCTTTAAAGGCCTGGTAGCTAATACCGTCGGCAAAACGACGAATCATTTCACTTAGATTTGTGCCCAATGTTTCGGACTTAGGATTGGGAAATTTACGTTTCATTAAACCGCGCAATGCTACCAATTCTGGCAATATATTTGGATGAGCTATAACATATTGATAGTCAGTTAAAAGTAGTTCTCCATTGGTGATGTCCTTGATAAGTTCAACACCACCAACAAGAGTGGCACCAGCTTGACGTGCTTCGGTAATTTCATCCTAAAAAGAGATCATGTGTTGTTATGATGCAAATATACAATATAGGAGGTAAGTATAGGGAGATTAAAATGATATAAAAAACCACTTTGAGTGGTTTTTTCTTATAGATGCAAGTTTAATTTTAAGAAAAAAAAAATGGAGTAGGTATACCTTGGGAAAAAATGTGTTTTAGAGGAAACACATTTTCAATAATTTCTAACCAATCTACTCTATTTATGTAACCTATAAAATATACAATTGCTTTTTACTTACGTTTCCCTTTGTAAACACTAAAATCTTTCTCTCTTCTCCATGATCAAATTTATGTGGCATCATGGCCATACGTTGAAAGTTATCCACAAAACGTGTCGATTTTTCAGCTTTCATGTTTAGTTCAATATGAACTACAAGTGGAGAATTTGGTTCATTATACATGGTTGGATGATGGGTTTCGCGATGGCATTGTATTGCTTCGGCCACTGTGTAAACAGGCCAGCGATAATATTTCCTAACATAACAATTGTCTGTGGAGACTTGCTTCCAGGAATCATCGACATGTTTGTTTTCACGTAATAAATTGATTCTATATTTCAAAGGTTGAGGTATTAATACAAATTGTATAAAATGCAAAGAACAAGTCATGGCGATACGTACTTACTGTCTCTTTCATTGTGGGGTATGAAGCCAACCTTTTTAACTTCTACTTTTACCTTCTTTTTTCGAGCCTTCTCGCGTGTTCCCTTACGGGCAGCCTCACAGACAGCGGTGGTGTTTAGGGTTCGCAATGCCTCGGCGGTGAATTGTTGGCGCACCACTAAAGTCCGAATGGAAGAAGTAACTAACGACCACATTTTGGAATAATTTTCATACAAAATTACTTCATCCGCGAACTAAAAACAAAAACAGTTCCTATTATGACAATCGACTACATAACCTAGTAGAGTTGTGTTATTTCGAATTGACTAGTTCAATGGAATTATTCTGAAAATGGAACGGTCGAGACTCTCAGTCAACTAGTTCCATGATACATTAATACAGGTAGCCGACTCAAAACAATTGGTGATACAATGAACTGCCAAAGCATTTTTGTAATTGTTTTTTTTTTTTTTTTTTTTGACATTTTAATGTTGATAAACGTTGATGCATGCATGGCACAATTACGGATGGTAGAACAAAGCTACCCCCAAAAACAATTTTTTTGTTTTGGTGCCCTTATTATGTCAAAACATATACACATTTTGTGTATGTGTGTGTATAGTTTTGAATAAAAAATACAATAATTTAAAAGTATTTCCAATTTGGTTGTAAAATAAAAGCAAAATTTCGACGTAAATGGGTAAACAAATGGTGCAATTTTGTGATGACACTGCATTGTCCTACTATTTTAGATTACATCTCGTGGAATAACCCCAAAATTTCATTCTTGTTTCGCGGGTTTTTCCCAATATAAGAATTTTGTTAAAAAAAAATTAAAAAAAAAAAACAAAGCCTACTGTTGCATATTTTAAATCCTATTTGACACTATAAGACTCCAGCACATGGTTGCATTTCTCTAGTTTCTTTGAAGTTGAGCAACCTCTCTTATTGAGCCATGGATGCATGTACCTGTATTCTTCTATTATGAGTATATATGGCAGAAGAATACAGTTAGATGCATCAACGTTTGGGAGCATTGATATGTCAAAAAATTTAAATGTTTTTTCAAATATAAGTGGATTTTTATATGTTTTCTTATACTACGCCATTCGGAGGCTATTATAATTCGCATTTTCAACAATTTTTACAAATTTAAATAATTTTTCATTCACATTTTCAATTCCAAAATTGGTTTGACAGTTCATTGTCCCAGCAGCTGTGTCGACGCGTCTAACTATATTCTTCTACCATGGTAGTATATTTCATCAAGCTTTGCAACGTAACCATGGTACAGTAAAAAAGTAAATTAGGGCTACTAGCTGATAACTAGTTTTCTTTTTCTAAAGGCGAGAGTACATAAAACGCGTTTTTGACTGGCTTAACTCATCGGCTGGCTTTTTTAGATAAGAATAAATGAGTGTAGGGTCAACATCGAACTAAGCTAAGCTAAAATTCCTTTATTCCTTTACGAAGAAGCCAACCATTGACTTTAGCCAGTCATGCATAAAAACAGTTCCAATCCCTGATTTTGTGTGTATACAATGGAGTTATGAATATAGATTTTAACAATGAGATGTTGTCAAATGTATAAATTTGAAAAAATTGTAAACATATGATTACATGTTTTTATCTTCTCAGTTCTACCATGCTGATGATTTTTAAAATTTTCTCACAAAATTTAAGTTGTATGGATTATGACAATTGATATGGTATGGTATACCAAACCCATGGTTCAATTAAAAGGTATCGTAGAGCTACCAACTGGTTACATTTTTTCTATGTATGTCCTCCTTTCACCATTTTGCCGAGTGTATTTAAGTCTGCCAAACTTCTGCCAATTTTGTGTATGTATTTTTTGTTCTGAAAACTTAACATTACATTACAGTACACAGAATTAAAACAATTAACCAGTTTTTTTCACGGAATTGAAAGATAGAGCCGCTTAGATCATATTTTTGAAAGGAAATCTAGGCATGAAAACAACTTGTTGCATATTATTTTAAATAATTCTGACAGGGAGCGGTCTGTATTTCTGAAGTTTTAAGAAGTATGTATTGTCACCATAAATGTCAAGGAAGAATGACTTTGTTGACTGGCTTATGTCATCGGCTTGCTTCTTCGTAGAGGAACAAAGGGGTTTTAGTTTGACCTAGTTCGATTTCGGTCCTACGCTCCTTTGTTATTTTTCGAAGATGAATTAAGTCAGTCAAAAAAGTGTTTTATGCATTCTTTTCTTAAGTGTGTCCAATTTCATTTTGTGTGTGTATTTATTGTTTCGAAAAAAAAAAAAAAAAAAATAGGGTAAGTGCGCCTAAGTTCGTCATGTCCCAGTAGTCGGTAGTTTTGAAATTTAAACTTAAATAACTAAGAATAGAAGTGATCAAATAATGAAATAATTGCAAAAAAACGTCAACAGTGTTCTCTGCTCTCTTTCTGTAAAAAAGAAACAATGAGCTCCGATCATTTCAAGGTAGATCTAACAGGTAACCGCATCGGCGAATTGCTACAACAAAGCAACTTTTGTGGTCCCCTCAAATGTCAAAATTGACATCTAAGGCGAAAAACATAGATTCGCCATGACATTTAAAGGTTGCGGCAAATTTGTTTCAACCAATCAGAAACGAGGTGTTTGTTTACATTTTATTTTGTGTGTCTCTCGTCGTAAACGAACTTCGCAATAAAGTTTTTATTGTAAAACAAATAAGAGTAAAATAAGTATTAATTGTAGTATTGCGATATTTTTTAAGCCAATAAACTTATAATGACTATATTTTACTGGTTTAAACCGAAAGTTTTCTGGAACTGCAAATGACAAGAGTCGAATTCTTGCATTACTTCCCGTGATGTGCTTTGGGAATCTTAGATGTTGAGGCTTAAAGCTGCGCTCCATTCTAACCTCCTTCCTTCATTTTCTTTTAATTTTTTTTACTGGTTTCACTCTTAACTTGCTCTTAAATTATTTGAAATATTATAAAAAGGTACTTTTGGGGAAGACAACATAAACAAATTTGTTGTTGCATTCATTTAGGGCGAATTCTTCATTACAACAATTTGTTTTGACATTTAATGGTGCCGTCAGCTGGGCTGATGCGATTACCTAGTACATCTACCTTGGATCATTTATTAAGAGAGAATAACGGTTTCGTCAGTGAGTGTCTTCTAACGCGTGCGATAGTGCATGTTTGTAAAGAAAAAACCAGTAAAGAAAGTCCTAATGCCGGGCGGGGCCGACTTTATGATACCCTACACCACTTTGCTAGTTAAGTAGAGCTCCACATAACAATTAATTTATGGGAGAATTCAATCATACACGCTATGATTATAATTATAATTGAAAGTTGAAAGGACTAAATATGCCGAAGCATTTGTATCTTTTAAATTCGGACTTGTATTGCACATTTGGTGCAAAATTAATTTGATATCAGATAAATATATATATGGGAGCTATATCCAAATCTAAACCGATCTCGCTAAAATTTGCAAAGATATTTTTGACTTGTATTTGATATATTTCCCTGAATATCGTTGTTACGCAGTGATTATTACGGCTGTGGGTAACAAATCGGATGAACAGTCTCAATTCGGTCGTATGTGCCAAATTTCATTCCATTTGGGTAAAAATTAAACGTTTGGTGCACAATAAAAGGTAAATCGGTCGAAGTTATATATGGAAGCTATATCCAAATCTGAACCGATCTCGATAAAATTTTGCAAAGGTATTTCTGAGCTGCATTTCATATATTTCCCCAAATATTGTTGTTACAGAGTGCATATTACGGCTGCGGAGGACTAAAATAACAAATCGGATGAACAATATATATATATGGAAGCTATAGCTATATCTGAACCGATTTCGATCAAATTTGGCATACTTATTTTCAGACCTAATTTGGTTGTATGTGCGAAATTCCATACTATTCGGCTGATATTACACGTTTGGTACACAAAAAAAAAGCCAAATCGGACGAAGATATATATGGGAACTATATCTAAATTTTGACCAATTACCTCCAATTTCAATAGGGCATTGGGCCAAACAAATGATTTGTGCAAAATTTCATCTGGATCGGGGAATAAATGCGAACTGTACTTTGTTTACAAAAATACATGGACAGACGGACGGACGGATGGACGGACATGCATAAATCGACTCAAAATGTGATTCCATGCAGATCATCAAAAGGAACTATGGGTCTATCTCGTTTCCTTTTGACTGTTACCAACAAATGTAGGGTATAATTAGTGGTGGCGTCAACTTAATAATCGATTTAAGTAAATTAAATTTAATACTTTCGGAATCAGAAATATTTAATAATAGTAAATAACAGTCTGAAGATTACTTTAATAACTTAAAAACATACAAATCAAGCATTTTTCTGTTATATTATTTAATGCCGATATTAGAAACAGAAAAATAGAGATTTGCCGGTAGTCAGCAGGGGGTGCCGATTACTAGAAAAATATCATTTTTCACAAATTTAACTAAAATTTGAGAAAAGTATTAAAAAATAATCCAAAAACTACTCAAATAAATAAATAATTTTTAGTCGGCAGTTGCTTTTATTTTTGCTTTTTGACGAACTTTTCAAAATTAAGTAGGTTTTTTAAATAGGAGTGGCAATTTTGAAAGAAATGTTGCCTATCTAACGGAAAGAGATCAATTCACAAATTCCAAATGTAAGAAAGGTAATTCTTTCTGTTTTTATTTAATCTCATTTTTATTTTAATTGAAAATCCATACGTTACTGAAAGTAACCATACTATTCTTGATTTTCTACCTATATTTGGTTTAGAATGATAATTAAACAAAACACTATTTAACAACGAAATTAATTATCATTGTTTTTTACTATTTAAAAAAATATACAAAATAATATTTTTTACCGGAATACCATATGCCGACTACTGGCAAATAGACATGCCGAGCATTGGAAAATGGTGCCGACTACTGGAAAAAAACTCTATTTTAGTAAAATTGCAAATTTTGCCAATTTAATAAAAACAAATTCAATTGTTGTTTATTATTTCGAAAACTGAACAAAATTTGGATTATGAACAACTTTAATTTTCTGCAATTGAAAGATTTCACTCAGAGTGTTAAAAGATTGAAAAATCGAAAATCCTAAAAGTGCCGACTACTTGTTTGTTTGTTTACCTGTCGATCTGCCATTCGATATTGAAGGAGAGGTTTAACGCAGTACACTTCATTTGTAAAGGTGTGAGTACATAAGCAGCTTTAAAGGTTAGAATGCGTAAAACTCTTTTTTTAATGTCTTAAGTCATTGGTTGGGTTCTTCGGATATGTCACAAAATATGCCATGCGAAGACTTAATGTGAGTGTACATAAAATGCTTTTTTGACTGGTTTAAGACATCAAAAATTAAAATTAGGAAATTGTGGGGTTCCATTGCTAAAACCATTATTTCCTTTGCATTTTGGACAAAAAGTGTATCCTATTTGAAATGTTACTTCTGACACCCCACGAGTTCATGAGGTTGGCAATTTTATTATACCCTCCACCATACTATGGAGGGTATATTAATTTTGTCATTCCGTTTGTAACTCCTCGAAATATTCATGTCAGACCCAACAAAGTATATATATTCTTGATCAGCGTAAAATTCTAAGACGATTTAGCCATGTCCGTCTGTCTGTCTGTGTGTCTGCCTGTCTGTCCGTCTGTCTGTCTGTTGTAATCACGCTATCTTTCGAACAAATTGAGATAGAAGGCTAAAATTTTGCACACATGTATTTTTTCCCAGTAGGCAGGTTAAGTTCGTAAATGGGCCATGTAGGTCCAAGTTATCATATAGCCCCCATATAACGGTACCTCCCGATATTCGATATTTTGATGATTTTAGCGACATTATTCACCGGAATTATTTCAAATTTGGCATTTGAAGTTTGTAATGGATGCTACAGCCTAAGACAGAAAATTATCTGTGCAGGTCCACGTCTTCCTGTAGCCCCCATATAACGGTACCCCCCGATATTCGGTTTTTTGATGATTTTAGCGACATTGTTTACCGGAATCGTTTCAAATTTGGTATTTGAAGTTCGTAATGGATACTACATCCTAAATCAAAAAATGAGCCATGTAGGTCCACGTCTTCATATAGCCCCCATATAACGGTACCCCCCGATATTCGGTATTTTGATGATTTTAGCGATATTGTTTACCGGAATTGTTTCAAATTTGGTATTTGAAGTTCGTAATGGATATTTCATCCAAAGTCAAAGAATGAGCCATGTAGGTCCACGTCTTCATATAGCCCCCATATAACGGTACCCCCCGATATTCGGTATTTTAATGATTTTAGCGACGTTATTTACAGGGATTGTTTCAAATTTCGTATGTGAAGTTAGTAATGGATACTTCAGCCCATGCCAGAAAATTGTCTGTGCAGGTCCACGTCTTCGTATAGCCCCCATATAACGGTACCCCCATATTCGGTATTTTGACGATTTTAGCTACATTATAAACAGATTTTTCTTCAAGTTTCGCATTTAAATATTGTAATAATTTATGACAAAAGTTGCCTATGCAGGCCCACGTCGTCGTATAAGCATTCGGTATTTTTAAGATTTTAACAGAATTTTTAACGGGTTTTATTTTTTGGAAATTGCCAAATTTGTACCAAATGGTGGAGGGTATTAAAAGTTCGGCCCGGCCGAACTTACAGCTTTTTTACTTGTTTGATTTTCGATTTTGACACAATGAAATGGTTCCACTCTATCCAAGAATTCAGTGAGGCAACTGTAAGCAAATGAAATGATATGAATTACCACTCCCGCATGCAAATGATCTACTTCCGTAGATTTTTGATCCTCATAACATTTCATCGGATATTTTTTATCCTGGCGAAATCACAAATACACGAAAATGTTACTTCTGACCGTTACATTCATGCTCATATCCAAAATATCAAAGAAGGAAATGTTAGTTAGATCGCTAATAAGTCAAGAACCGCTGGACTGATTTTCACAATTCTCATCAATTCGGAATGGTCTTTTGCCAGAAAAGGATAAAATCAAAGAAAATCACGTAAAAATATGCCAATAAATATTTTGAATATTTTTTGTTACATTTTTTAAATTTTTGTCAAATTTTTTATCGCGATTTTTTCATTTTGACTTACAATTTTGAATTGTAAATTTTTAAAGTTTTTCTACACCCCAACACTGTGTTTAAGGTATTATATACTTGTCGCAATTATTGTCCGATCCTCACGAAATTTTTCATGAGGTAGCGTTAGGGTGAGAATACTGTTATGGAGATTTAAATTCAGAGGTTCAAATGGACCAAAACAAAACATTTTCCTTAAAGAGAAAAGACGTCGAGCATATTGGATGACTATTGGATTTACTTAGCTGTAAAATGGACCATGGCTTTTGTGAATTTTTTTTTGGAATACATAACAAAACGACGGATTGCGTAAATGAGGGTAAAATCTGGGCAGGCCTCTATGTCATTATTTCAATATCGAAATCTTCCAAAGTTAATTTGAACATAAACGGGCTTCCAACGTATTGTAGTTTTTAGGGTATCACATGGTCGGCCCGCACGACTATAGCCTTTGCTTACTTGTTTTTCTAATAAAATTTATTATACCCTCCACCATACTATGGAGGGTATATTAATTTTGTCATTCCGTTTGTAACTCCTCGAAATATTCATGTCAGACTCAACAAAGTATATATATTCTTGATCAGCTTTAAATTCTAAGACGATTTACCCATGTCCGTCTGTCTGTCTGTGTGTCTGTCTGTGTGTCTGTCTGTCTGTCTGTTGTAATCACGCTATCTTTCGAACAAATTGAGATAGAAGGCTAAAATTTTGCACACATGTATATTTTCCCAGTAGGCAGGTTAAGTTCGTAAATGGGCCATGTAGGTCTAAGTTATTATATAGCCCCCATATAACGGTACCTCCCGATATTCGGTATTTTGATGATTTTAGCGACATTATTCACCGGAATTATTTCAATTTTGGTATTTGAAGTTCGTAATGGATACTACAGCCTAAGACAGAAAATTATCTGTGCAGGTCCACGTCTTCATATAGCCCCCATATAACGGTACCCCCCGATATTCGGTATTTTGATGATTTTAGCGACATTGTTTACCGGAATCGTTTCAAATTTGGTATTTGAAGTTCGTAATGGATACTTCATCCAAAGTCAAAGAATTAGACATGTAGGTCCACGTCTTCATATATAACCCCCATATAACGGTACCCCCCGATATTCGGTATTTTAATGATTTTAGCGACATTATCGCATGTGAAGTTCGTAATGGATACTTCAGCCCATGCCAGAAAATTGTCTGTGCAGGTCCACGTCTTCGTATAGCCCCCATATAACGGTACCCCCCATATTCGGTATTTTGACGATTTTAGCTACATTATAAACAGATTTTTCTTCAAGTTTCGTATTTAAATATTGTAATAATTTATGACAAAAGTTGACTATGCAGGCCCACGTCGTCGTATAAGCATTCGGTATTTTTAAGATTTTAACAGAATTTTTAACGGTTTTTTTTTGGAAATTGCCAAATTTGTACCAAATGGTGGAGGGTATTAAAAGTTCGGCCCGGCCGAACTTACAGCTTTTTTACTTGTTTATATCTTAGCTCGATTTTAGCTCTACGCTCCCTTGTTCTTTTCCGTAGAAGCCAGTCGATGATTTAAGCCAGTCAAAAAAGCGTTTTATGTATTTTCACCTTTAGGAAGAGGAATTTTATTTATGTGGCTTCAATCTTAAGCATACAAAAAAATGAGTTTTAAAAAGTTCTCGGTGTTAGTTCTTATGTAGTTCTCGAATGGCGTTCTATTTTAAATCAGTCTTTAAGGATCAAAGCCCCAGAATAGGCAGTTAAAAATATTAGCAAAATCTTCAAAATATCTTTTTATGGATTCTGCATAAACATGAATATACATAAAACGCTATTTTGACTACCTTAAGTTATCGGCTTGCTTTTTCGAAAATTAACAAAGGAGCCTAGGGCCAAAATCGAACTAAGTTGACCTAAAACTACTCTGTTCCTCTACGAAGAAGCCAGCCGATGACTTAAGCCAGCCACAGAAGCGCTTTATGTATTCCCAAGTACATAAAAAGCTTGAAGTCATGGCTAGGTATATTAATGTCAAATTATAATGGAAAACGAAGGTCGGATTTTAGTGCGGCTCTGCAAAATACACATGTGTGCAAAATTAATTTTTCTAGCTAGATTTCACGGAATGCTGTTCGACAACTTTGACAAATTTTGCACCTGAAAAATTCTCCCAGCACAGGTTACTGAGTAATATTTACGGGAACTATGGTATGAGTAATATTTACTGGAATAGTTATCGTACATACTATGGTACAATAAAGAGATAAGGTACAGATACCAGCTGATTATAATTTGTTTCTAAGTGTGCTCGACTTCTGCCAATTTTGTGTACGTATTTATTTAACTCATTTTAAAAATGAGAAAATGAAAACAACTTGTTGTATATAATTTTGAATGAGTCTGACAGGAAGCGGGCATAGCCTCAGAGCTGTATTTCTGTAGTTTACGAAGCTGTTCTACCTCCTTATTGTACCATGGTACATACATATTTTGCATATATTTTTTCAAATCGTACACACCCTAAGTTGCACTTTTGTGAAAATCCAACAAGTTGTTGCTATAATAGAGAGCAACAACTAAGGCACATTTGGTTGAAACTAAAAAATGCAAATGCTAAGTAGAAGCTTCAACATTCAACTGCGACAGCTAGTAACGGTCGGACATTGTAAAGTGGAACATTCAAAATATTGAAAATAAACACAGGAGATATTTTTAAATGCAGACAGTCGGAAGATAACAAAGCAACTGTCAAAGAAGAGAGAATAACAGGGAGCGAGCGTTATACAAGGAAAGAGACTAAGAGATTAATCAAATGTATCTCTAACACCTTCATTATCACCATCGCACAAGTCAATGAGGGAGAGAAGAGCTTTTTGCCGAAAATCGAAACGGATGCTGCAGAGCCTCTTCAGCTGCCTTCCTCCGATAATTCTTGCCCAGAGAGTTCGGAAAAATTGTTTTCCTCCAATTAGATTAGTATTGAACGTTTAACTTGGCAGACGTGTGTTTTTCTGAAAAACAAATCACTTTTTCGTCTGTGCGCGTGGTGCAGCAGCGGTGCGGAGTGGAAGTGTATCGATCGATCGCTTGTTCTTTTTTTTTCAAAATTCTCGAAATACGTTCTGTGATCAAAAGAATAAGTTCTAAGAAAATTAAAGGCAAAGATAAAGAAAACAAAAATAAAGAAAGAAAACGACAACGGCGAAAACGACAAATCACAACTTTATGGCGGTGGTGTTCGGATTACAGATATAGATGTTATTGCCACAGAATATATGTCAACTTGAGAGTCAATATTGTGAGATATCGTTTCAAAATCCATTATAAAATATCACTAATTTTAAAAGTAAATAAGAATTCGAAAAAATGGTTATATAAAAAAATTAACTTTTTTCTAAGTAAAAAATGCGAAATTTATGTATTTATTTTTTTTTAAATAGAGAGCTAGAAGAAGAAACGTTCAGTGAAAATTGGAATTTTCTTTTGGTGTGTGAAACAAAAGTGGTCATTAAAATAAAAATGTGTATACATACGTCTAATGGAACAACGACCAAAGTTAGACGCAGCATCAGACGGTCAGTCAGTCAGCCTCTTTGATAATAAGTGGTGTATGTTCTTTGATGCTTCTGCTGGCGACTTTGCCGACGAACTAATTTAACAGACACGATAGAAGAGAAAAAATAACAACAACGACAAATTGGGAAATTTAGTCGAAAAGTGAAAAAAAGAAAAACAGTTTTGGAAATAAAGAGTGAAAGTGTTTTGCTCTTCTTAAGGCGCTTCCACCTTACCCGTTACGCTTGGTGTCTACATATTTCCCTGACGAGATAAATTATTGGCTAAAATTTAACTAAACTAACATAAGGACATGTTTACGTTAGACATTTTTGCAGGGTTAACTTACTTTAAGAGGATTTACATGGTACAATAAAATAAAGGTAACCTCATTTAAAATTAGCATTACCAGCTCAGCATTTTCTCCAATTTACCTTGTCAAATTTCAATGCATAAAAAACAGTTCCCATCCTTGATTTTGTGTGTATACAATGTATTTATGAATATAAATTTTGACAATGAGATGTTGTTAAATGTATAAATTTGAAAAAATTGTAAACATATGCAAAGACATAGTAGTATAAAGATAGGGCAAGACAGAGTCAAAATATGGCAACCCTTTGCAAATACCTCTGTTGTAACGATGTCATAACAACATAGTTACCAATGCTATATACAAATTTTTGGAAAGAGCTATGAAATAGAATTTTGAAACCAAAAGTTTGGATTTTTCAAATTTGTATTTGTTATTCGTTTCAGTAATTGTAGTTTTTATATTAACATGTCTGCCATGAGCTGTTACTCTATGTATTGTAGACACAAACCATTTGCTCAAAATATATTTTGTCTAGTCTTTACCATTTTAGGTCTTTGACATATGATTACATGACTTTACCTTCTTATTTCTACCATGAGTATGTATTTGAAGTATATATAATGGATATGACAATTTTAACCATATTCAGTGGGTTAACCCATTTATATGTAAACGTACTGTAAAACTCTTGTGTTATTTTATGTTGTACAAAATACAGCACATTGTACAAAATATTTCAAAAGTCCGGTAAGTGAGAGCAATTTTGACAGTTGAGTTACTGAGAGTTTGCAAAGTTACAGAAAACATTTACCAAGCAATAGCGCACTTATACTATTAAAGGGTAACCCACTGGGTGTAATTGATTCCGTGGGTTAACCTTGCTACAGAAATTGGCGACAAATCACTATATCTGACAACCCTGCATCAGATATAGTGATTTCTCGCCAAACGTGGTAATTTTTCATTGCTTTTGGTGCCTTTATTATAGATTTGGCGGCATGGCATTTTTGCTGTCCCTATTCTCTCCACACATATTTACAGTCTGTATATGAGTGTGTATTATTTGCAATAATAAAGAAAAAAATTTGAAATTGTTTCAAATTCAGTTGCAACAAAAATGCATCTTTTCGATATTAATGGGCAACTCAAATTTTTGGAAAACCCCCCAAGATTTCATTTTTGTTTTGTGGTGAAAAAATGTAAAATAAACAAAACCAATCGTTGAATGTTCAAATGTGTATTTGACACAATAAGAATCCAATACAGAGTTGCATTTTCCTAGTTGCTTTGAATTTGAACAACCTTTCTTATTGAGCCATGGATATATCCACAGTTTTCAATTTAAAAAAATATGGCAGTCAATTATCGCAAAAAGAATTTATGTTCTACCATAGTAAAATTAGGATAGTAAAGTCAATCCAAATAGGCATAGGTGTGTCTGGTTATCCTAAAATTTGTAACAATTGTTGCTAATTGTTACTAAAAGTCGTCTCTTAACACAAAAGATCTGCAAAAGAGAGCGATTTGAGAGAACAATTTTGACAGTTCATTCACAGACAGTTTGCAAATTCTTGCTGAACAAATTTCTTCTTGCATTCACTTGTAACTTTTCTTCTTCCCCTTCCGGTGACTGATATTTGGACAAGCAATTTTAATTTTTTTTTTGTGTTTTTTTCGGCTTATTTTTAATTTCTGCATGATCTATTTATGACGTGCAAATTGTTTTGTTTTGCTGATTGCTTGTTTGTTTTTGAAGGTAATCCGCTCATTTTCCCAGTTTTCTTGCAAAAGAGAACAAAATTACATTGCTCTCTTATAAAGAAGTTGCGGGACAATTCCTACAATGCCTGCATTTTCTGTAATTTACCTTGTCCAATGTTATTGCATAGCAAACAGGTTCCCTTCTCTGACTTCTGTTTGTAAAATGAATTCATAACTCATACATTTTGACAACGAGATGTTGTGAAAAGAATAATTAAAAAAAAAAAAAACAACTTGTAAACAAATTATTGCATGACTTTACCTTCTTAATTGTACCATGCGTTCAACTTGATGTGTATGAAACCCTGTGTAGAAAATTAGAATATAATTTTGAATACATATTTTAACGATGAAATTGCAGACAATATATATGAAACAGAAAACAAAATAATATCAAAAATGCATGTATTTAGTCCTGATTTAGACTAGGCGAGCTTACTCGCAGTAATTTTTGTCGTTCCCTTTTTTGCTCGCCCATTTCATTTATACAAGGCCTTTTTTGTCATTTTTTTGTATAAAAATAAAAACACTAAAGAAATTGACAGTACGATAATTTTGTCCTTTTCATTCATATCTACTATGCCTTAAATAATTCTTTAAATTAACGTGAACCTTGCTAGATTCGGGTGAATTGAATTGCCTTTAATAAAAAAAGTAAAAAAACATTAAGTTCGACCGGGCCTAACTTTTAATACCATCCAAAGGAAACATTAGAGCCCATTATCACCCACATATCCCAATTTGAGACATATTGGTGAGAAAATGTGGCAAAAATCATCAAAGTACCGAATATAGTGAGGTACTGCTATATGGGGCTATACAAAAACGTGGACCTATACATAGAATTGCTTGGCCACAGGAGCTAGAACCCATTAGGACCCACAAATACCAGTTATTAGACAAATTTGCGAAAAAATGTGGCAAAAATAATCAAAATATGGAATATCGGGAGGTACCTTTATATGGGGGATATACCAAAACGTGGACCGATATATCTCATTTTCAATACCAACCATCTTTGACACAATCCAAATTGTTCTTCGAAATTTTGAACACACAAAATGCTTTTTCGACTGGCTTAAGTCATCTGCTGGCTTCTTCGTAAAAGAACAAAGAGTCAAAATCGAACTAGGTCAACCTAAAACTCCCTTGCTTTTTAACGAAGAATGACAAAAATGAAGAATGGCGAAAAAACGTTTTATATATTCTCACTTTATGAGCTCAAGGTTTATGAGCTTTCGAACGAATTAAGATAGAGGGCTAAAATTTTGCACACATGTTTATTTTGCCAGTAGGCAGGTTAAGTTCTTAAATGGGATATGTTTGTCCAAGTTTTCATATAGCCCCGATATAACGGTACCTCCCGATATTCGGTATTTTGATGATTTCAGCGACATATTCACCGGAATTATTTCAAATTTAATATTTGAAGTTCGAAATGGATTCTACAGCCTAAGACAGAAACTTGTCTTTGCAGGTACACGTTTTCATATACACCCCATATAATGCTACCTCCCAATATTCGGTATTTTTATGATTTTAGCGCCATTATTCACACAAGTAATATGAACTAAAGTCTATGTCGGAAAATTGTCTATGCAGACCCAGGTCTTCTTATAGGCCCCATATATCAGTACCTCCCTATATTCGGTATTTTGACGATTTTAGGTATAATACTCACCGAAATTGTTTGAGATGTCGTATTTGAAGTTCGTAATGGATGCTACAGCCTGTAACAGAAAATTGTCTATTCAGGTCCAGGTCTACGTATAGCTCCGATATAACGGTACCTCCCTATATATGGTATATTGATGATTTTATCTACCCTATTCACCGTTTATTTCAGCTTTTCGACTGGCTTAAGTCATCGGCTGGCTTTTTCGGAAATTAACAAAGGAGGCCAGGACCAAATTCGAACTAAATCAACCTAGAACTCCTTTGTTCCTTTACGAAGAAGCCAGGCGATGACTTAAGCCGTTCAAAAAAGCGTTTTATATATTCTGACCTTAAGGGTATACGTAAACACAAAAATTTAAGCTACTAGATTAATTTAATCCAGATCAACTCCTCCAATACTGTAATCGCACTTTTATTTCTATACCTTTTCCAAGCTCATTGTGTTATTCATCTTTGTACTATTAATTTACTAACAATATACTCCATATGGTAATTTTTGTATGCTTATTGTACACACATAGAATCAAAAATTACCAGCAAAAAAAATAGAACAAGTAAATAAGCAATTAAGTTCGGCCGGGTCAAACTTTTAATGCCCTCCACAATTTGGAAAGTAAGGCTGGAAATACATAAAGCGCATATTTGGCTGGCTTCTTCGTAGATGAAAAAAGGAGTTTTAGGTTGACCTAGTTCGATTTTTGGCCCTAGGCTCCTTTGTTCATTTCCGAAGAAGCCAGCCGATGACTTAAGCCAGCCAAATAAGCGCTTTATGTATTCCCAGCTTAACTCATGTAAAAATATGTCTGTGAATACAGAAATTCCAGTATTCGAGCGGCATGCGTCATTTTTGTTCTTAGGAAATTCAATTCAAACATCAAACAATTCCGTAAAAATATCAAACAATTCAGTCATCAAACTACCGAATATTGGCAGTATAGGGGCTACAGAAAAACTCTGTCTTATATAGAAATTGTTCAATGTAAGCAGAAACACCCATGACGGAATCAATAAACTGAATTTTAAGTAATTCCGTTGGAAAATGTGGCTTAAATAGTCAAAATACCGAATAGCGGGAAGTATCTTTTTATGGGGGCTATAGGAAAACGTGGAGTACTCTGCTACAGGATATAGAATCCAATATGTACTCCAAATACAGACTTTTATGCTATTCCGCTAGAAACTGAACCTAATTTCATCAAATTATCGAATATGGGAAGGTACAATTATATGGGCGCTATAGGAAAACGTGGACGTAGGCGATGTTCTGCAACACAAGGTAGAACATATTTGCTTTGTTCTAGAACTGCAAGAGTTTAAAAGTTTTCAATACAATAACCGATTTTCTCTTTAGGATTTCGAAAACAATTACAAAGTGGTAGATTCTGGGACAGAGCAATTACGAACTCTAAATACCGAATTTGCAACTATTATGTTAGAAAGTCAAATCAAATTGCCAACATACCGAATATGTAGAGGTACAATTATGTGGGGGCTATATGAAAACGTTGACCGATATAGCTTACCTTCAAACTTGAAAAGACAACTCTGTGCAAAATTTAATCTTCCTACCACATGCCGTTTGGTCTCTAGCTGATCAAGAATATATATACTTTGTAGGGTCTGAAACGACCACTTCAATTAGTTGCCAACTTAATATACCCTCCAGACTTTGTATGTCGAAGCTATAAAAAGCCCCTAAAAGTGATTCTCAACATTTTCGAAATATTTTATTTGTTTTCAACAGAACCAGAAACAATCGCATGCGTTTCAAAATGATTATCAACAATTGGCTCTTGTGTGTTCGTGAGAGTGTATGTGTGTTCTGTTATAAACAAATGGTTTGGAAATGGAATGGAAAAAGAAGAGAAAATAATAAATCTTTTACAATTTTTGTTTTGTATAAATTTTCTGATTAATCAGAATATTGAATATTTCTGCCTTACTCCTGCGCCCAAGGTAGGACATTTGTTACCTATTATAAGTGCGCATGAATTGGAAAATATGGACACGAACTTTGCAATAACTAAAATCTGGAGTACCAATATATAATTGCTGTACCAAAAGATGGTACCACAAAGTCGACCGATATGACCAATAATTCCGGATGTAATCCAAAGAATCCAAGTTTCAAAGCTTCATTCTAAGGAACAACAAAGAGGGTAAATAATTTTGAAAAAAATGTAAACATATGATTGCTTGATATGTTTACAATTCTTTCAAAATTATTAATTCGACAACATTTAATATTTATACATGACAACATCAAAATATTTATTCATGAATATATTGTATATACTCAAATCAGAGATGGGAAACTGTTTTCTATGCAGTAAAATTTGATAAGGTTATTTACAGAAAATGCAGATTTGCATTCGCATAATGGGTTTATAAATATACATTTTAACAATGAGAAGTTTTCAAATGAATAATTAAAAAAAAGAAACCAGAACCCCATTGGGGGACTGATATAAGCACAAGTACTATCAATTTTTCACAACTCAAGGTGGAAACACATGAAACAAGTTTTTACTGGCTTGAGGCTGGAAATACATAGAGCGCATATTTGGCTGGCTTTTTCGTAGTTGAACAAATGAGTTTTAGGTTGACCTAGTTCAATTTTGGACCTAGGCTCCTTTGTTCATTTCCGAAGAAGCCAGCTGTAAACCGGGATCAATAATTAAAAGACGCAAAGTCTTTACAATTTAAATTTGTTCATTAAAAATATTTCTTAAGAACTACTTATGATAATATGACTTAACCTAAATTATCATTAAGTGTAAATGAGAGAGAGAGAGAGATAGATACCAACTGTACACATGCATATATGCACCATAAACCTTAGGGGGAGGTCATAAACACGCATAGCTATCTCACATGTAGCAACCAAACATGCTGCACTTGCTTATCAGTCTGAGTAAAGATTACATCCCGTAATCTAACTCCACCATAACACATGCAGCAATTGAAAATTCTGTATTATTTATTTCTAACTGGAAGGTCTGCTCACATTTTCTTATCTTATTTAATGTGGACTGTATTAAGAAGATCCCTGTTTAACAAATCCCTCTCATCTACACTAGGTAGCCCGCTATTCTCTTTTATTATAAAAACATGTTCACTTATCCGTGAACATTCTTGGCAGGGGCAAAAATACATATAAAATATAAAAACTACAAATATGAACAATTAAATAGATCTAAGAGAATATACATTTAAAGAGAAAAGAAGTTAAGTTATAGCACCCAAGTAACTCCTCCATCTTTCCAGCTGACTGAAGTTCTCACCCTTCTCTGGCAACGCCATCTTACCGGCTTTGGACAGTTTCTCATTCCAGCGTTCATAATTTTCTGTCATTCCGGCTTGTATTATACTCGCTGCACCACTTTCACTAGGCATCTTCTTCACAACTTGAGCTTCCTTCTGCATCTTATTATTCCAGCGACTCAGATTGCTTTTCTTCTTAGTCTTCATCTCGCTGGCAATTATCTTATTGACTTCTTCCAAGCTCCCTGTGTCCAGTTTTCCCGAGAGCTGTCCATCTACCTTTTTCAAAGTTGATCTTTTTTCGGCAATCGGGTCTTCCATATAAACCTCTTCAACCATCATATCTTCGTTGATATTGACCACTAATTTTGCAGCCAATTCATCAGCCTCGTTTTTGGATGTTTTGGATGCTTTCTGTGATATGAGCAAATCTTCTTTAAGTTGCAATATATCAGCCTCCAGTAGAAATATCCTTCTATCTCTCTCTTCTCTAGCTTCTAGATTTGGAGCCAACCCGTCACGTTCGCTTGCAGCTTCAAGTCGTTCTCTTTTTGCACAAGACAACTCATCACTAAGTTTTCTTATAACCGCCTTCAACGGCTTTCCATCGCGTTCTGCCTCCTGGTTAGCCGCTTGTAATTTGTCCTTAGTATCCTCGGCTACACACACAGCATTTTCGACTTCCTCCTTTAATTTCGAGAAAAGTTTGAGGGCATCTTCCTTTTGATTTTTCTGTGAAATCAAGGCAACCTCCATTTCCTTAAAATCACCTTTCATTTTTCTCATTTCGTCTACTGCTGCTTCGCGCCCCTCTCGCTCGTTGTCCAATTCGGATGTTATGTAGGCCATTTGTTTCTTCAAGCCAAGGACTTTCTCTTTGGTCTCCACATTAAGAGCCTGCGTGACTTTAAGGATGACCTTAACATCTTCCGAATACAGCCTCGCTGTCGCATTCGGCTGACTTGCTCTGCATCTATGGCTTCTTCCGTCTTTAATGTACTCACTATTTCCATAATTGTACCCATCATTTCGAGAAGAGTGGCAGCCTTTTCCTTTATATTCATCATTGGCGGCCATTTCGCCGATTCGTCCTCCTGGGGATATGCCTCACCCCTTCTGTCTGAAGACTTCAAATAGAAGCCTCCTCGGTGTGCACCGCCACCACAGTCTTCAGCGCTGAAGTCTCCTTCTGACTCAGCATCCTTTTATTTGGCTTATAAATTTCTTCTGTATGGGAACAGTTCCAGCTGTAGTTTTAGCTCGGTAATTTTCCACTCTTGAAGATCAATTTTAGCCTGACAGAATTTCCTCGATGTTAAGGCAAATTCTTCAACATTTATCCTCTACCGATCCGGCTCGATGGACCAATGTAAACCGGGATCAATAATTAAAACACGCAAAGTCTTTACCATTTGATCGTTTGTAAGACACTAAATTTGTTTATTAAAAATATTTCTTAAGAACTACTTATGATAATATGACTTAACCTAAATTATCATTAAGTGTAAATGAGAGAGAGAGAGAGAGAGAGAGAGAGATAGATACCAACTGTACACATGCATATGCACCATGCCACCATAAACCTTATGGGGAGGTCATAAACACGCATAGCTATCTCACATGTAGCAAGCAAATATGCTGCACTTGTTTATCAGTCTGAGTAAAGATTACATCCCATAATCTAACTCCACCATAACACATGCAGCAATTGAAAATTCTGTATTATGTATGTATAACTGGAAGGTCTGCTCACCACATTTTCTTATCTTATTTAAGGTGGACTGTATTAAGAAGATCCCTGTTTAACAAATCCCTCTCATCTACACTAGGTAGCCCCGCTATTATCTTTTATTATAAAAACATGTTCACTTATCCGTGAACACCAGCCGATGACTTAAACCAGCCAAATAAGCGCTTTATGTATTCCCAGCTTAAGTCATCGGCTGGCTTGTACATAAAATAACAAAGGAGCATAGGTTAAACAAGTATAAATTATGGACCGAAATTGAACTAAGTCAACTTAAAGTTCCTTTGTTCTTTTACAAAGAAGCCATCAGCTTTTTTGACTGATATCAGTCATCGGCTGGCTTCTTGGCATGGTAGAAGAATATAGGTAGACGCGTCGACACAGCTGCTGGGACAATGAACTGTCAAACCAATTTAGGAATTGAAAATTTTGAATGAAAAATTATTTAAATTTGTAAAAAATTTTGAAAAATGCGAATTATAATAGCCTCCGAATGGCGTTGTATAAGGAAACATATATAAATCTACTTATATTTGAGAAAACATTTACATTTACATGACATATCAATGCTCCCAAGCTTTGTTGCATCTACCTGTATTCTTCTGCCATGCTTCTTGGTAAAAGCACAAAGGAGTTTTAGGTTGACCTAGTTCGCTTTTGGTTCATAATTTATACTTGTTCGCCCTACGCTTCATTGTTCTTCTGCGAAAAAGCCAGTCGATGACTTAAGCCAGTAAAAAAGTTATTTAAGATGAGAGTACATAAAATGCTTTTATGACTGGATGGAGTCATTGGCTGGCTTCTTCGTAGAGGAACAAAGGAGTTTTAGGTTAACTTAGTTCGATTTTCGTGTTCTTTTCCTATGAAGCCAGCAGATGACTTAAGATAGTAAAAAAAAAAAAACGTTTTATGTATTCTCACCTTAAGTGTGTTCCACTTCTGCCAATTTTGTGTATGAAATTATTGTTTTTAAAAACAAAAACCAATTATTTTCAAAATCAGTGATTGTAAGAAACGTACATTGTAGAGCGCGCATTAAAGCTATTAACCAGTTTTCCCATGGAATTGAAAGATAGAACACTTCGGGTCATATTTTTGAAAGATAATCCAGGCAATTTAAAACGAAACGAAAAAATAATCAAATGAATTAATAATTCTGGTTGCATAAATTTTTGAATACTTCTGAAAGGAAGCGGGCATAGGCTCACGGTTGTATTTCTGTAGTTTAACAAAGCTGTTCTTCTTATGGTGCCATGCTTTTGAGAATGAAATGTTGTCGAAGGTATAATCATGGTAAAATTAAGATGGTAAAGTAATTTTGAAAAAGTTTAGGATGAGAATACATAAAACGCTTTTTTGACTGGCTTAAGTCAGTAGCTGGCTTCTTCCTAGAGGAACAAAGGTTGAATTAAGCTGGGAATACATAAAGGTCTTATTTGGCTGGCTTAAGTCATCAACTGGCTTCTTCGGAAATGAACAAAGGAGCCTAGGGCCAAAATCGAACTAGGTCAACCTAAAACTCCTTTGTTCATCTACGAAGAAGCCAGCCGATGACTTAAGTCAGCCAAATATGCGCTTTATGTATTTCCAGCCTTAGTTCGATTTTGGCCTTAGGCTCCTTTGTTCTATTCCGAAGAAGCCAGCCGATGACTTAAGCCAGTCATTAAAGCGTCTTGTATATTCTCACCTTTAGTCTTTAAGAATCAAAACTTCGGAATAACCTGCTGAAAAAAGTTGGCAAAATCTTAACAATACCCGCGATATGTGTTCAATATAAAACTACATCTTAGCCTAATAATGTCCTGTAAGGCCAATTCGATTGAAAATTCGGGATGACACATTTAAACTTGGTGTGGCAAGATGATACTGTGAAACAAAATCCAACAATTCTATAATCAAGCGTAACAGACTTATGACGATAATATTTTAGTTTTTATATTTTTCCATGACTTGTATACTTCCTAAAATTCGTGAAAATGACAAAATATTTTGTAGGAAATAAACCGTTATTTCTTGCCACAAGAAGAACTAAAAAAATTTAAATTTGACAATTTATGGGTAGTGTGACATGTGGCATCGGCTGGCTTTTTCGTAAAATAATAAAGGAATCAGGGTGATCTAGTTTAAACTATGAATCGAAATTGTCCCAACTTGACCTAAAACTCATGTCTTCTTTTGTGAAATAGCCAGTCGAAGACTTAAGTCGGAAAAAATCTTTATATATGTGCTCACCTTTAGTTTCAAAATCGCCTCTTGTGTGGCCTTATTATATACGCCTAGGCAATGTAAAGTTATGTGTTTATATATATATTGATTTTATATCTTTATATGTTGAATTCTAAGTCGATTTAGCGATGCCCGACTAATTTGAGATAGAAGGCTAACATTTTGCAAACATGTGTATTTTTGTCAGGTTGAGCTCTTAAATGAACCATGCCAGTCCATTTTTTCGTGTAGGTCCCATATAACTGTACCTTCCGATATTCGGTATTTCAACGATTTAGATCACATTTTCTAGCAGAATTTTTTGAATTTCGGTACTTAGACTTTGTAACGGGCTCTAGCTCCTGTGACGGAGCTTTGTCTATATAGGTTGTTGAGTAATATAAGCCACAATTTTAAAGAGAATTGGTTAAAAATTGGGTTATATCCTCTTCTGGAAAAAGTTGCCCATATAGGTCCACGTTTTCGAATAACCCGCATAAAACAGTACCTCCCGATATTCGGTATTAAGATCACATTTCCTAACGATTTAGATCACATTTCCTAACGATTAAGATCACATTTCCTAACAGAGTTGTTTACAATTCTGTATGTAGGGTTCGTATTGTATTCTACCTCATGTGGCAGATCAATCATGATAGAATTAAGAAGGGAAATTCATGCAAACATATGATTACATTTTTTTTAATTATTCATTTGACAACATCTCATTTTCAAAGTTTATATTTACAAATACATTGTATACACACAAATCAGAGATGGGAAACTGCTTTTATGCAGTGAAATTGAACAAGGTAAGTTACACAAAATGCAGAGATGGAGAGAATGTTAACTTTACCTTCTTAATTTTACCATGGGATCAACGGTGTGGTTACATAAGCAGCTTGAAGTCTTTGCATGGCATATTTTACAACATATCATAAAGAGATTCCAGAGCCACAATTGAATCCCTCCGTCGTTGATGCCAAGCTGCTTATGTACCGTCACCTTAAGAAAGGTTGCTCAACCCCAAAGAAACTAGGAAAAATGCATCTCTGTACTGGTGCCTTATTGTGTCAAATAGATTTTTAAACATGCAACAATTGGTTTTGCTTATTTAACATTTTTCCATGGTAGAATTAAGAAAATTATTCCGTTGACAATATCTCATTATCAAAATGTATATTTTTAAACCCTCTTTTTTTCTTTTGGTTAAATTGACAAGGTAAATTACAGAAAATAAAGAGATGGATATGCTTCTTTGAAATGATTTTACATTCCTCATTTTACCATTATTTTTTTATAAAAAAATTCCACATTGGGAAAAATCCACAAAACATGAATGGATTATTGGCTTTTTGCACAATTGAGTCCAAGATAGAGAGGGACGATCTTGTTTTATCCCGATATTATACATTTCGTCGCCCATAAACGTGGAAATTATTCCTTTCTCTTTCATTTAAATTGAAATAATACACACACATTTATGTTGTTTGTAATGGGTTCTTATATGGCAGAAGACTGCTGGAATAGAATCATTAGTCCGTTTTCACTCATAAGGCAGTACCTCTGAATATTTGGTACATTGGTTATTTTATCAAATTTTTTTGACAAATTTTTTTATTTGATATTTGGAACTCGTAATGGACCACCATCGATCTTACGACATTTTTTAAATTTTTGCCCAAGCGATTTCACTGGCAAAAAGAAGAAGCGGACCCAATATTCAATCTCGATTACTTTTTTGTTTACTTCATGGTGGAGGGTATTAAACACGTTTTTAATTTTTTATAATGTTGCTCTCCCAGTGGAGCTACATTGATAAAAATTCTATAGATTGAAGAACTTAAATTAAACTTATCAAGGTCATATCAAGGTAGGGCTATGATACCATATGATT